TAAAATAGGGAGTAGAGAGGAAAACACTGAAAATCTGTGCCCAGGTACAGAAGTTTGGGAAGTGAACGACATGCTTAATGTTGCCTTGTGTATTATACGGATGTTTGTGGTATGTAAACCTGTAATGCATAAAATTAAGTTAATGCTGTGTAATCAAATAATTCCCCTTGACTCATTCTTCTGAAAACTTTAAAGAATTATAAACAATTACTACAGTGAAAAGCTGTTGTAGTTAAGCCCATCTAAAAGCCTGCTGCTTGGAGAAGAGGTGCTTGCCTTGAGAAAAAGGCTAGGGAGTAAAACATTTCCTTCCTTGCCCTCCTCCACACCCCTGGGTTCCCTTCCTCTTTCCTGCACTTGACCTTGGTGTTCATCAGACACTTCACTGGGCTGATGCAACATGCTAAACTGGCAGAAAACTAAGCTCCTGCGGAGGGAAAAACATGCTTTCCCCTGTTTTAGAGCTGAGGTGAGAGAGTACTGCAAAAAGTCTGAGTGTGACTAAAGTTGTGTCAAAGTGGGAGGGGAGGTAAAGCTGGGAGTGGAGATGTAAGTAAAAAAAAAAAAACAAGGGAGAATGGGAACTTCCTCTTTGGCTCACCGTTAGCCTGTGTAGCTCAGCATATAATTTTGCTTCAATTGTTCAGGAACATAGAATTATATCAGTTTTGATTTGAATTGTCTGGCTTAAAAACCAAGTAGTTGTTCTGGAATTTCCTTGATTGCACTAATACCTTTTTTAAACAAACAAACAAAAAACTGACAAAAAACCCCCACCAAGCCCACAACACTGTTTTTGGGAGGCAAGCAGGCTGTATGCTGTTTAGCCAGTAAAGTAGTTCTGCTATCTTGTTAGCAAGGCACTTGCCAATTGTTCTGTGCATTTATCCCCTTTCAGGCATTCTTGTCTGATACTTATCCATGTGATAATGGAGTAGGCTGGGATGTTCTTGCTCTACACTCTTCACATCATAATCTGAAATTCTGTAGCTTTGTATTTTCTCCTTATGTGACACCCTCACCGGTGTGATAGAGGGGAAGGCTTGGATGAGTGGCTATTTGGCTGGATTACAGCACTGGCTGAAGTAGTACTTGGGAAAAGCAGGGAGGTAGAGTGGAAATTAATGCTTGGATTGAATGATATAGTTGAGGGTCAGAGCATGCTGACTCAAATATGCACAAAGTAGCAGAAAGCATATGTGCCTGTGTCTTTTAATGTGCTTATGATACTCTACGAGGGAAGGGTCGTCAGGAAATAGTAACTGGTTGAAGCAGAGAAGGAGACAGGAGTCTGTTGTACGCCTTAACGGATGAAGTTTTATGAGAAATTCTGGCTTTGATTTGTGTTGGGTTTTTTGTATTTCTTCACACATATCCATAGTCTCTCTATTAGATAGACTTATCAAAACTTTGTAAGGTTGGTCAAATCTCTGTTTCATTAGCAACTCTGCTTGTGAGGTGTTTCAAAGCATAACTAGTACTTTTAGCATCTCATTGTATTATTTACCTAGCTACAGCAATGTCTTGTTTAGAAACCACTTTAACTCCTACAAAACCTTTTTAAATTGAAGACCCTCAAATACAAGGAATATCAGTGACAAACCTGGTCATCTACCAAGAATTTGTTACATAACTAAGGAAGCATGAATGCTGTGAATTTCTGTAAAATGCTGATTCTTCGAAAACAGGGGAATAGTTGAGGCAGGTGTGTGTGTATATATACATATGTATTTGCAATGGAGGGAAGACAGGCTAATTTCACTGAGATGTTTAGTGTCTTTTCAGTCAGCTTTTGCTCAAACACAGAACCAGTCTGTAGTTCAGAACTTAATGTACAGAAAAATAGTGTTACATGTTCCCCTTCATCCCAGTCCAGTTTTCTGTACCCTGAAAAAATGCAAACTGATGTCTTTTTTTTTTTTTTTTTTAAACTCCACAGGTTAGTTATCCCTCTGCCCTGTTCATGTGCTTTGCCAGTAGTGTGCACAGCATTTCCAGTACTGGCTAAAGGCTTGGGTTTAGGGATATGCATGGGAGCATGGGTTGGCAAATATGATACCGTTTTCCACATTAGTTTCTCATTTTTTGCTGAGTTTAGATTAAGGTCTAAGTTTGTTTGTAGTCTAAATACACTTGGCAAACTTTTGTTCTATTCTCTTGCGCAGTCAGGAATTAACGTATGTTTTTGGCACCTCAAACTGGCAGTAAGATGTGCTACTCGAAGGCAAATTGCCTCTTGTTTGTTTTCTGATCCAGTCATCAGGTTAAAGACATCAAATCACACTAGTATTTGTTAGGTCCTTCTCCAGATCACTCAAGATTTTTATAAACCTTGTCCTATCTTAACCCTATTAGCTTTTTCCAAACTGAAGACACTTACTTAGTCATTCCTTACATCAAGCTATTCCGTACTTACTGTTCTACTTTTTGTATTTCTCTGAACTTTTTCCACTTCCGTTCATTTTGAAATGGGGGAAGTTCCAGAATTGCGCATTTTTTTAAAAAAACAAAACAAAACACCCAAAACCTGTTTGTTCACAACTTGATTTTTTTGTTTATTTATTTTTATACCTTTGTCTAACATGGGCTTTTTCCCCTTTTTGTTCCTGTTTGAAAAATTATTATTGAACCGATGTTTTTATGAAACAATTGTGACTGAAGTATTTCGTTCATGAGAGGTAACTATCGGTTGGAGCCCAGCTGGTCTAGGATTGTTTTCCTTTGTGTATGTATCTACTTTTAAATTTCTACATCAAACTTTGCCTGTTTGTTTAACATTAATTTAGTCTTGGAGATCTGCAGCTCTCCACAGTTGGCCTGTGCCTTGGCTATCTTAACTTGAAATAGTTTCAAACTGTCACATCTCTGGTGACCTCCTGGTTTTTATTTTGTTGCTGTCTTTTATTAATGTGTGGAACAGCATGTGTCCCAGCAGAACTTCAATGACCATCCCCACCTCTGAGAGTAGATCATATTTGTCTTCTATTTTCTTACTCCTTTACAGGTGGGTTATCTAATATCTTCTCTTTATTTTATGGCTGCTTTATTTCTTTAAGTATGTTCAGAGAAGGACTCCATCAGAAGTCTTTTGGAGATCTTGGCAGACTGTATAAAGCAAGTTTCCATTATCCATGTGCTTGTTGATTCTTTCAAAGAACTCTTCCGGGCATGCGAGACAGAATCTCCCTTTACAGAAGCCATATTGGTTGTCCTCCTCCGCCACCCCAATGTATAATAAATACGATGTTGGAACAGAAAATGTTATTCCTGTTGCAGATAAACACATACCTGACATTTGATCACAGGCGTGGGAGTTACATACTGGGATTTTCTTTGCTCTAGAGGGGTATTGGCTGTCTAGGTCAACTCCTAATGTATGCCCAGCTCTACCAATTGATCCTTTCACTGTTTAATGTAACGACGTGTATTGTTGTGGATGTAGGGTTTCTGTTGGCTATTGATAGCTCCAAGGGAAATGGGACCAATAAAGGAGGCAGAGTTAAGGACAATAAACTAAATAACTTCACTGTGGAGTAAGTGGTCACTTAGCATTTTGTAGCTGTTTAAACATTTATTTTAGACTGTTGTAGTTCTGACCTTTTTTGTGAAGGAGAGGATCTTAATGCTTGAAATGGACAGCAAATTATTATTTTTACTCACTTGTGTTAATTTCATGTGAATGAAGTGCCAACATTCCCTTACTGTACTTATTGCTGAAGAGCTGAATGTAAATAATTCTAGTCATAAAACAACTTTAAAGTAGAATGTTCCAGGAGAAGACTGCATTGAATGTAGTGATATGAACCCTCAAAATTTTAAGCTCTCTGATCTGTAATAAAAATATTATTACTGAGATTTTTTGATCTCTTATTGCTGACTTTTCTTTTGGTGATAATACTTTTGCAGCCATCAGAATATGGTGAGTAAAGGTCTTCTGGGGTAATTGGTTTTTACTGTTTTTCGGAACAAATTTGTGCATAATGTCTTCTTATCTTTTAAGATGACTGCTATTGTGTTAAAAGCTCACAGGTAAGCATTGTAAAGGCTGCTTTGGTAAGGGAAATAGTTGCTACTGCATAGCAGGTCTTACTAGCTGTTGCTGGGGAAAAAAAGTATTTCTATTCCCTCCAGTGCTACTGCTTCTGAGCTGTTTTAGGGAGCCAAACTGTCAGGAAACTAGCTATAGCAGAAAACCAGTTGTTTTTAAAAAGTTATTTTAAGAGGCTTTATTTTCTTGAATCAGCTCACTGCAGAACAACAGCATTGTTCCACCTCCTCCCCAATGAAGAAAACCACCACTTCTGGCAGCACCGACCTGATTAATTTTTCCTGCATCTTTGAACTATGTTGTTGCTTTACATAAAAATAGATATTAAAGCATGGGGAATGAAACAATTGGCGCTATTTTTATTTGCTCTCTAGACCAACGGGCTATAGGATGTTATCACAGGGGACTTATTTTCAGAATCTGAGTAGAAATATTAAAGCTTGAGGGTTCCCCCCCCTTAAAGTGTTGCTTGGTTTAAGTGAATTCTAACAATTTCAGTGGGTTCTCCCACCGATTATATCTTTTTATTTTTCCACACAATCCTTGTGTGGCTTATGTGGTATTTTTTGCATAATCAGATAGTATTTCTTTTCCTATTTGATTTGATGTACCAGTTGAACAAAGAGCATTTCTGGTACACACTATAATTTGTATAACTGATTATTTGAATGCCATGGCTTTATGAACTGTCCAGACAATAGCCAGCAGAATTTTAATTCTGCTAATAGTGTAGCTTCTCCTGTCAGGATTCTATTTCTTCTACCCCAGTCTAATACGAGTACTTCAGGTTTGGAATATTTCCTTGCTCCTTTGGCACAGTGGTGACAGCAAAGACAAATTCAGTGGAGGTGTCATCACTCTCAACAGCGATTGTGAACATTTTTTTCCTTCCCTGCTGGAAGAAAAATACATGATGAAGTGCATTGGATTTATGTGGCGAGGTTTTGGTAGCATGGGGGCTGCAGGGTTGGCTTGTGTGAGAAGATGTCAGAAGCTGCCCCCATCTCTGACAGTGCTGGTTCCAGCTGGCTCCAAGACAGACTGTAGGATGCAAGTTGTTCCACTGCAGGCCATGGAGCAGATGTTCACCCTGCATCTCGTGGAGGACCCCATGCCGGAACAGGTGAATGTGCCCTGAAGGAAGCTGACCCGTGGAGAGCCCACACTGGAGCAGGCTACTGGCAGGAACTTTTACCCATGGAGAGGAGTCCATGCCAGAGCAGGTTTGCTGGCATGACCTGTGATCCCATGAGGGAGACCCGTGCTGGAGCAGTCTGTTCCTGAAGGACTGCACGCCATGGAAAGGACCTATTCCAGAGCAGTTCTTGAGGACTGCAGCCCATAGGAAGGACCCCATATTGGAGAAGGTCATGAAGGACTGTCTCGCACAGGTGGGACCCCACGCTGGAGCAGGGGAAGAGTGTGAGGAGGAAGGAGCAGCAGAGACAGTGTGTAATGAACTGACCACAACCCCTGTTCCCTGACCCTCTGTGCTGCTTGGGGGGAGGAGGTAGAGAAGTTGGGAGTGATGTTGAGCCTGGGAAGAAGGGAGAGGTGGTGGGAAGGTGTTTGTAGATCATTAATCAAAAAGAAATTAAATTAATTTCCCCAGGTTGAGTCTGTTTTGCTCTGTGACAGTAATTGCTGAGTGATCTCTCTGTCCTTTTCTCAACCCACAAGCTTTTAAATAATTTTTTCCCCCTGTGCTGTTGAGGAGGGGGAGTAATAGAGCAGCTTGATGGGCACCCAGTGGCTAGCCAAGATCAACCCACCACAGGAAGTCTAGGAAAGCTGCAGTCTCTCTGATTTCATGTGCAAACTTTCAAGTAGTTGCAAAATTGAACAAAGTTTTGATGCACTAGGTTCTTGCTATGCTGCCTTGACCCTGCTTTACAAGAGGTATAACTGTTTGTTTGGCAACTTCTCAACTTTCAAAATTGCCATCCTTGAGTTTTAGAGCATTGTTGTGGATGAGCATTTTAGATCACCTAAAGAATTTGTAAAAGGACGACTTAACATTGAGTTCGATGTCAAGGTTCACTCTTACTTACTACATGGAGGAACTGTACAAGGGAAAATCGGGTTCGAATTGATTTGGAATGATTTGCACAGAGATCAGAGATGTGAAAAGGTAAGGGAGACCTTCCCTTTGAGTCACGATGTTCAGGGTAGACCCCTTGCTTTCTAAACTCCTTCTTAGAGAGGAGTCTAGGCATGGCTGGATCCACTCCTAATCCCAGACTTGCCAGTGGTTTATGTCTAAAGGATTATATGTGTTTATGTCTAAGCGATTGTGTGTTCAGTCAGTCCTTCATATCATTTAGCTGAGATTTCAAAGTTTCAGCATGCTTCCCAATTCACTTATCTTTCGTCTGCGCGAATTTAATAGAGTGGTACAGCAGGGTCACCTCTGGAAAGGAGTCCTAAAAAAGAAAGGAGGAGCCAACCAAACACAGAAATCACTGGGTGATTTTTACCCTTACAGACTATTCACCTGCCCCTCCTGTGAAAGCTGGGTCCAATAGTAATATTTGGGTCTGGACTGAAAAATTATTCTGGTCTGACACCTTCTGGCTCCTTGTTGAATGACTTTGCTGTCTCAGAACAGGCTGTTATCTGGTCTAGTTGCACCTGCTGTTGATGATTGTGGCCTTGAAGCCTCCTTATCTTCAGGTTTGTGTGGGTTCTGGGGGCCCTGTTTTGGCTAAGTAGGTGCATGTTCAGTAAACCTAAGTGGAAATTTACAGCTTGCAGCCTAAGGCTTCATCAAATCTAGCTATAACTGTTAAGAGATTAATTCTATTTAAAACTTGCTTATTTAAGTTAAATGACTAGTATCTCAACATGGAGAAGTGCTCCTGATCAAGGGGAGAGTTGCCTGGTGTGCGGTCCGGTTGCTGTCCAGGGAGAATTCAAATTGGGCTTATCCACCGACATGCTATTGGTTACAGACCTTGTTGCTGAAGATTCCTGCCATGCTGCCTAGCAGGGAGAGCTCCAAGGTGGCTCACATAGGCTGTCATATCATATTTATGGGTTAAAGTGGTTGGCTTGTGATCACGTTGCATGCAATGAGAAAGGTATGCACAACACTCCTTGTGCCCACAACTGTCTTTGTTCCTTCTGCTCCTGTGTGGGTTTCCTAGAGGAGGTCTTGGCCCGGCTATGGCTCAGGCCTTTGCCTCCTTTGGAGCCTGTACCAAACTGCTGCTGGTTTGGTTAAGGGTGGGGGGGTCAAGTGCATCTGTCGCAGGTATCAAAAGTGTTACCTACTTATTTTTAAAGTGAACAGTTAGCAGTATACAAACTTAAAGATGGTCCCTGAATAACTTTGCTCTTGAATGACAGCTATAGGAAAGTATGGCTTAATAATGACTGTCAGTTGGATGGTATTTATTATTTGCTTCCTGATTTCAACAGCTAGCATTCTTAATTAGGTACCTTAATTACCTGTGTCCTTTAGCTAACTCATAGCAACCAAAAATAAGTAGCATTCAACCTGTTTAGGAGATCATTCTGTGAGATGGGAGGCGAGATGTTGAGTGGTCACTGCTTTGCAAAAATTGTTTTTTAAACTCATGTGTATCTTCTGGGAGAAAAAAAATAATCCTCTCTCTTTCTGGAAGAAGAAATGAAAAACTTCTGTTTCTTGTCTTCTAACAAGGGACACACAAGTTTGAAACTTTTAGAAATTAAATGTAACTTCCTGCAAGATTACTTTTTGAAGAGAATTAAACATTTTGGCAGATTAATTCCAATCTTGAAGAATAGAAAGCTTACATATTTATCTTCTAGCTTCAGAAAGGAAAGTTTAGAACATCCTTGAAGATATGTCAGAAGTTCACTTCATTACCTGTAGAACTGTCCTGATAAAACTTACCAGGATGTAAAGATAAACAACCTGACAGCTTGCTGGTGGCCAGTCCTATCTCTGTCCCTCTGCTGGCCTTTCTCCTTTGTGGAACATCTGTTGAGGACTTGCACAAGCCACTTTACTAGTGGCACAAGAGGCAGTCCCAGGGTGGGGGGATAAAATTGAGGAGGTACAGGAGGCAGGCTTTTTGCAGCATCAGTGAGTTACAGCAGCTGTTTTAAGGGCCTACTGAGCACCAGAGCTGATTCTAGGAAGGAGTAACTTTGGGAAATGGGTTTGGAAGGAGCCTTCAACCCTCTCAGCCTTTCTATAGTTGACCATGCCTGTGGCATAGGTGTTAGGATCCCAGAGAAAATGAGATTTCAGATGTGACTTGATGATTTGGCCACAGGAACTTGTCTGTTCTAAGCAATATCATCCATTTAATAGAATTGAAACAGTTTGTATGAAGTTGATTAAGGCTGCTGTAGAATGTATGAAATAGATTAATGCATGAAATAGAGAACAGTGATATATCTAATTTGAAAGAGAATTAACAAATGATGCAGCCAGTATTAAAGATGACCCCTTTAAAATATAATTCTCATTACTCTGCAAGCACTCTTTTTAAAAAGAAGTATTTTGAAATTATAAAGTGTTTTTTATCTGCTACGTCTTAAGTACAATTAATGCATGCTCTTTCTACATAAAATCAATGTTTAGCAACTATGCTTATGGTTAACTTGCTTAAGATCTGCTAATATGTACTTGATGCATGAAATTGCCTTTTTAAATAGGCCTTTGGAATAGGTTAGTACTACTGATCTGCTCAGTGGAAGTATTTTAAAGTGTATTTATTTGATGGAAAGAAAACTTAAATACATTTAATTATTAGACAAAGACATGGGATGTTTTAGTAACTTAATCCTGCCGATTTCGCTAAGCGTGGTGTTTATTGCTGATGGAAATCCTCCAGCTTAATTCTCTTCAGGGAGTTCTGTGACTGTCATGTAGTCTGGCTGTGTCATGTGTATGCTTCACACTGCATGAAGCCTTAAGGACTTGTTTCAGGATTAATCCAATACTAGTAAGAAACAGGATTTGAGGTCTTACACAAAGCTGGGAGGAAGCAACTGTCAGTTTCCTGTTTCAGTTCTTGATACGTGAAGAATCAGCAGAGGGGAATGACTTGATTTTTCCTTTAATCATGAGTGAACAAGATTATGAAGAAGGTGGGCCAAATCCAAGTGAGTCTGTTTAAAAGACAATACTGTGGTTCTAATTACTCTTTTACTGAAATAACAGGTTCTGTACTTCCAGCTATATTATGAAGTATTTATAAAGAGGTTTTGCAGCGCATTTTCATTAGAAGTAGCCTGTGCTTGATTATAATTGTAGGCTGAGTAAAAGAAAACTAAAACTTAGTGATGTTGATAAGGTGAGTGATGGATGTAGTATTAGAGTCCTCCATTACGTAAAGGGGTTTACAAGACGCTTAAGTATACCTTGTTCTGCTTTTCAAGATAACTTATATAAATTATGCTAGTCATTGATAAAAATAATGCAAGAAATTGGTTATGTAGTAAAATTATTTAGACACTTTACTAAAAACAGTAACCTGCAGGTTTGAAGTGCATTGCACTGAGTTCTTAAACCCATATGATGCAAAAATTCGGATGCAAGATGTGTTCAAACAAGGTTATTGATGCCTTTTCATAATTTGAATTAAAACAAGCTGGTGGCTTTTGAAAATTTGAGTTTGTTAGAGCTCTCAAGAATACTTCTATGTATTTTTTTGTTAGGATTAGTAAGAAATTAAGTTTTTAAGGCTGCCTGAGTTTTCTTTAGTTGCCTGCCAATCAAAAATTTGGACATACAGGAAACAAATATGCATGATAGAGAAGATAGAATTACAGTTTTTGCCACAAGCAGCTTTCTTGGACGTGACAGTTCTACAAGTCAGTTTTAGTGACTATAAACTTTATGTATTTTTACCTTAAAGAGTCTGTTTACATTAGCACTAAATGCTTGTTTACCCTTGTGCAAACAGTATCTTCTCAGTTTGTAGTGGTTTGTTCTTAATGGGACCAATACCAACTTAATGAAAATGTTACCATAGTTTTTGTTAAAAACTGTTATTTTTCATCTGTATTTGGCTAACCAGAACCTACTTCAAGGTACATGGACTGTGATTAAGAGTTGCCCTTCGGAAACTATGAAAGATTAGCTTTTTCTGTGGAGTGTTATTCTTCAGCTGCATTCTGATCTACCAGCATATAAAGTTAAAAATTTGTAATGGGAAAACTCTTTGATTTTTGCATACGTAGTTGTTTGGAGAACTGTTATACCTTATCATAGCCAAGCTACATTATTTGAGGCTGTGTGGTTCAAAAGTTTTAGATCACTATCTCTTCTTTGAACACCACCTGTATTCTTCTGCTTTTATTTTTCAAATAGGTGTTAAACTCTTATAGCATGGCAGGAGACATAGACACTTGTCTTTTGGACAAAATATGTTTGAATACAAAGGCAAATGGGAACATTTCTTGAATATGAACAATAATGACAGATGTAGTGTGGGACAGCAAGGAAGCAGTGAATCTGGAAAGGATTTAGGGGTCAGACTGGAATAGAACAGTATGAGCTTGGTTTAATGCTGTGGTAAAGAGGGCTAGCCTGATCCTTGGAGTAGGGAGGTAATGATTATACTTCTGTAAATAGAATGATTGAGACTGGTGTTAAAGTCTATTTGATTTTTAAAGTTTGAATTTTTTTTAATTTTGCGTAACTTAAACACTGAAGAGACAGTTGCCACAAAAATGATTAAAGGTTAAGAAAATCTTATGAACTTGACTGTTTTAGTTTTTCAAAAAGAAGCTTGAAGTGATTTGGTAAGTACAGTTACCTTCACAGATAGAAAATACTAAGTGTGAGTGGTTAAATTTGGAAGGTGTACCAGGATGTTATAACTAGAAGTTTGAAAAGAACCAACTTTAAATAGAAATAAGGAACAATTTGTTTGATGTTTTTACAGTAATTAAAAAACCCTTAATCTTTATAAAGATAAATAGATAAGCTTATTTGCTTGTTTCATTTCTGAAAACACTAAGAGATCCACTGGTCAAATTTCAGTATGTTTTTTTTTTCAAAGTTACAGAGCCTGATGCAGAAATGAAATTCTGCAACCTGTGGAAGAGCAGGAAATCAGATTAGGTGGTCTAATGTTTTTGTCCTTAATCTTTTGAATAGGCATCCTAGTGCAAGTTTAGGATGACTTAAATGAGCATTTCCTCCTTCTACCTCAAGCCCTGCTCTGCCACTTTCCCAAAGACAAGACACCTGTAACGTTTTTTTTTTTCCTACTCTAGTTCTTTTGACTGGGGCCTGGGGGTGCAGGGAGGAGGAAACCCAACCACTGTAGTGCTATGATCTAGTAACGTTGGCATCAATGATAAGGAAGTGGTTTTGCTTACACTGGCTGCTCATTCCTATGCTGGTGGTGTCTCTAGAGACAGCGCAAGCATTTGTGTAGTGAACCCACAGAGTCATCTGGGTTAAAAGTAGTAGCAAGAATAAAAAACAAAGCAAAACAACTCTGAGTTTATAATGAATAGTTCTGTTTGTGTGAGGAAAAGTGCGATACGGGGACAGAAATGGGTGAATAGCAAGTGTGACAGGGGAATGAGAGGGCCGCTTCTTTCATGGCTGTCATAGTTTGAACCCACCCAGCTGGCTCCAAAAGCACCACTCAGCTGCTCACTCACCCCTGCCCTGTCCCCTGAGGGGTAGGAAGGAGAAAATACAACCAAAAGGGCTTGAGGGTTGAGACAAAGGACAGGGAGGGCTCACTCACCAGTTATGGTCGTGAGCAAAAGACAGACTCAACTTCAGGATAACACACATTTAATACAAAACAACCACCACCATCAAGGAGAATGAGGTACACAACACGCCTTCCCCCCACCCCTCCGGTCTTCCTGGGCTCAGCTCTGCTCCCTTTTCCCCCCCCAGCAGCGCAGGGGGGCAGAGAATGGGGGTTGCAGTCAGTCCAGCACAAGATGTCTCCATTGCTCCTCTGTCCTCAGAGACAGAGGTCCTTGCTGCACCTCCCCTGCCCCACCACGGGGTCCCTCTCACAGCAGACAGTCCTTCACCAACTGCCCCTCCACCAACTGCCCCAATGTGAGTCCTTTCCCATGGGGCTGCAGCTCTCCACACAACGGGCTGCTCCAGCGCGGCCAGAGTCGCGATCTGCTTTGGGCCCGGTCCCTGCTCCTCCAGCCTGGGGCCCTCCACAGGCTGCAGGCCAACCTCTGGGCCACCGCTGGTCTCCGTGGGCTGCAGGGGCTCAGCTGCCACCCCACCATGGGCAGCAGGGGAACCTTTGCACCGGCACAGCTCCCCTCTCCTTCCTTACTGACCTGGCTGTCCGCATGGCTGTCTCTCTCTCATTCCCCTTCTCTCACTGACACAAACAGAATAAATAGACACAATCAATGGTTTCTTTCACTCTTAAATAGTTATTCACAGAGGCACCATTGGTCTGGCCTTGCCCAGAGGCAGGTCCAAAATTGGAGCAGGAGGAGCTTCTTGAAGTCCCTTACAGGACCTACCTCTGTAGCCCCCTCCCCCACTGCCAAAACCATGCCAAAACCCCGCCAGACACCAAACCACCACAATGGCAAAGGTAGCTTCAGCCTGTTTAAGTGATACTGTCTTACACTATATAGTTTTGTTGTTCTTATGCTATGTAAAATGGACCAGTTGGGATCAGCTTAGAAACTTTAAACTAGTAACGTACCTGAAAGTATTCTACCTGTCAATGTTTGTGAGGATCACTGCTCTGAAACTTCAGAGGAATACGAATTTGAACAAAGTGCTGTCTTGTCTCTGTGACCAACACTTTGAATTGTGATATGCAGACATATTTCTGATGTAAGTTTAGTTTGGTGTGTGGAAATGTTAATGAGAAATTGGGTAATGACATTGGCTGTTGTAAACTTGAGGCTAGCACAACTCCAGGACAGTTTGTGATAACTTGTGTGGGTTACGCTGCATTGGCAACTGGGGGGCTGGGTGTATGGGGGTGCACACTGTGATCGTCTGCATGAACGTTCCAAGTACTACCCCTCAAACTTGAGACGTGTCTCCTACCATCTCTGCTTGCAGCTGTATATCTCATGTAGCAAAGAGCTGCAACATACTGCATTTTAACTTCCACGTAAGTGTAGCTAAACTCGTCTGTAGAAATCAAGATTAGGAACTTATGCATGTTCTGTCAACACAGAAAATAGCAGATTGTTTCTAGGAAAGGTACGTTAGCTATGGCTTTAGTTTGTCTACTGGTCTGTCAGTAAGCACAGAGTTGTACTTGGTATGTGAACACTTCATACCAGGCTAAAAATAGTAGTAATAACAACAATTTTTAAAGTATATAGTTGGGGAAGGAACTGGATTTATTTTAGAGCTATTTTCACCTTATGCTGGGTGGAATAGAATGTCGCATCAACAGGTGTGGGTTTTTTTCTGTGTGTCATAACACAAAGGAAACATTATACCATAATCAAGCTCATAGAAGATTTTTTTGTTGTTGTTTATTTTGCCTTTCTTATGGATCTTTTAATAGCAGTGGTGGTCCAAGATGAAATACTGGCCCAGATGGACTACTAATGTAGTCCAGTTTTAAGATGTTGCTGTAAACCCTCGTAACTTGAATTACTTTCAGAAATCAAGCAACAGTAAGTATTGATTTTTGGAGGGCTTTAATTGCAGAAACTTTAATTTGATTCCAGAAGACATGTGCAGCTTCAAGGAGTGTCTTAAATTATGTTGGAAGCTATTTTTATTGTGTGTTTAACTTGCTTCCACACCTGACAAGAGTTTGAGTTGACACACTTTCAAAGAAGCCCGAGGGAAAGGTGATTTACTTGTCAAGCACTGAAACAGGCTGCTCAGGAGAGTGGTTGAGTCACCATCCCAGGAGGTATTTAAAAGACATGTAGATGCGGTGCTTAGAGACGTGGTTTAGTGGTGGACTTGGCAGTGCTGGGTTAACAGTTGGAGTCAATCATCTTAAGGATCTCTTCCAACCTAAATGATTCTATGGTTTGATTATCTTTAAGCTTTCCCTTAGAATTCAAGGGAATAGGGTTAAAATAGAAAGCTGTAAATGGCTTTTTCTTTTTCCCCACTAAAAAGACTTCCTAGTGGAATGAAGTACCTATTTCTATATTCTTTATTACTTCAGTGGCAACAACTGAAATGGAAAAACCTATTTGCTCCATTCTGCTTGATGCACGAGAGGTGGTATTTGCAGCATTTGTGAAAATTGTAAATCCTGTCTTTTTTTAGTTCTGGTTTTCTGTTTAATCCCTTCTTTTGAAGAATGGATGAGCTAAAGATTGGGATAGTAGCTTGTTTTGTTAGCCTCACCATAGCTGTTAACTGTGTGTTGAGGTCCTAAAACTAGTTCTTTCTACTGGATGGTGTAATACATCTTAATTTAAGTTACATGTTTGTAAGGCATACTGTATTTCTAAGTATATGAAATAAGCATATTCCCAAAGGTGTTGTATTTTAATTTACAGTCAATATGATTCTGTTGACAGCAGTGTTGAAGGAGCTTGTTTAAAGGTGTTCATAATTGTAGGACTGGTCAACAAACTACAGATGAGAGAGTACTTGTCAGTACATTTGTGGTCTCTTTTTCAGCATTGATCTACTTTCAAATAGAGCTAAAATAGAGAATGCTGATCATGTCAAGTACTATAAAAATGCTGTACCAAACATTCACAAAATGCAAAAAGACAACTGTGTTAAAGAAACAGGAGAAATATAGAATCTGGTAGTGACAAGCTATTTTGAAGACTAACATTAGAAAGCTTTAAAACAGTGTGATGGTCTGGCCCTGGCCAGATGACAGGTACCCACCAAAGCCACTTTATCACTCTCACCCCCTCAGCTGGACAGGGGAGAGAAAAAATAACAACAGGCATGTGGGTCAGATAAAGACAGTTTAATGAAGCAAATGGCCGCGCATGGAAGCAAAAGCAAAACAAAAGATCTTATTCTCTACTTCCCGTCAGCAGGTGATGTCCAGCAGTTTTCTGGGAAGTAGGGCTCCAGTACGCGTAGCAGTTGCTCCAGGCGACAAACGTGAAACAAATGTCCCTCCCTTCTTCCTGTTTTCCCCAGCTTATATTGCTGAGCAGACTTCATGTGGTATGGAATATCCCTTTGGACAGTCTGGGTCAGCTGTCCTGGTTATATCCCTTCCCAAGATTTTACCCACCCCCAGCTACTGGGGAAGTGTTGGGGAAACAGCCTTGGTGCTGTGTGAGCCCGGCTCAGCTGTAGTCAAAACACTGGTGTGTTATCTAGCTACCACTGCACAGCACAGTGAGGGCTGCATCTCAGGCAGACCCATTGCAAATAGGCAGAATATTGGTTGGAAACACTGAAAAAGTATTTGAAGTTAGGAAACCTCAGTTGTGTTTTCTCATGTGAAGTCTGTTAGGTTCATTTGACAAGACTTGTTTGTTAGAGACATTGTGCTCTGAGCATTTTCCTATTGGAGAAAAGCCAAGTAACTGTTTAGAAACACAGCCATATAAAGGAAGACTTCACTATTCTCCTGCCTACAACTTAAAATACTTCATGTACAGTGCTAAGATGCTGATTTTTACCTCCAGAACTAGTAAGACAAAACTATATTCTTTAACCTTGGAATGGTGAATACTGATTCACATTATTTGTTTGGCTACTTCTGATATTTTATTAGTCTAATGATACCCACTGAAGTAGTCACATTACACTCTATATGAAGGCAAAACAATACTTGAAATTCCCCACTTACTCACTTTTTGAAGAAGTAATCCTTTCTGAAGAGGTTGGAAGTACCCTGAAGAGGCTATTAATATTTAGCTAATCAGTACAGCTACCAGCTGTCGATAGGTGAGAAAGTCAATAGAAATGTGGTCACAGAGACAAATATCCATCAGCTTTTTTTTTTTATTATTTTACCTTGGGAATTTGTCTTTAAAAAGCTTTGTAAAAACTTTTGTAAAAAAATAAAAAAAAAGGGGGGGGTGGCGGCAAAAATAATGTTATTTCAAGGAATGGAGCTAAAAGAAAAACGATGTTCCAAAAATCTTGGGAAGAAATTGCAGTTTCTTAGCTAAGAAGTTCTAGTGCTTGTACGCTTTAGCAAGATGATGAGAGGAATCAGCATGTATTTTCATTTTGCTTTTTGTTGTCTGTGGAAAAGCTAACTGAACTTTTCTGTGAGTACGATGGAGACGATTAAAAGATAAATGTCAATTTCTCAGACACTCTTATGCCAAACCAGCATGTCCCATGCACTGTGAAGGTACTAGTCCACGAGGGAGATTGTTTTGTGTTCACAGTGCTCCTTCTGCTGGCCTTGCATTTAGCGTTGTTGGAGGAGGGGGACCTAGCCAGTCTGTAAGACTTGAAGCAATGGGGGACTGATTATAAACTGTAGAGAAACAGAAAGATGAAAGCTGGAGGATATGGATAGAAAGAGATACATTTGATAAGAATAGTAGTTGTGGATTAATTTATCAACAGTTCTCTGGATAATGGAATTAATTCTAGAGCCTTAATGAACAATAGCTGTCTTTTGAGTCTCTTGTGATAGTATGCGGCTTCTATGTCATGATACCAGTAAGTATAGTTGAGTATGGGGAGTCTATTGGACAAGGGAGCTATGGGGAGTGGTAGACTGGAATGCAGTCACTCTCCTGCTTGAGGGTCTGAGATATGTTTCTGTCTTTATTAAAACCAACATAATACTTTGTGCTGAGGCGTGGTGTCAGTGTTTGCAGGAGCTTTGTTGTGGGACTTCATGTGAGGAGGCCTCCTGGAGAGGGCTGAGTGGAGGACACTGGGAAAAGAGTAGAACTTGTTCTCTAGCTGTTTCTTACTTCTGTAGTGAAGAGGCTGTGTAGGTGCTGTTGCTGTAACTTGTGAATATAAGGGCAAAAGCGCAGGCAAAGGGCATAGGCAAGGATTTGAGACTACTTGGAACTGCCAGTGTTGTGACAGCATTGGCATGTAATAGCTTTTGTATTGTGTGGGCTGGAAGGCAGTGAAAGGGATGGTGTATTTTTTGAGGTGTGCCAGAGCAGGTCAGGAGCTATAGCTTACTGAGATAAGTGTTTTGGTAAGGAATGGAATAAACATAGTGTGTCATGGAAGAGTCCTCACAACGTTTACAAAATTATTCCTTTTATATTGTTTTTTCATGAATTCCTGCCTCAACTACTGGAATTTTTTGAGGGTGTCAGTAAAGTAATGAAGAGGTAGGTTGGGCTTTTTCTGTTGATGTTGCTGCCCAGAAGGTTTTTGTGAAGTGCTGTTATCAAGTGCTTTTAAGTAAACTAAAAGAATGGGACAGGGGAGAGGGGAGAGATCAGTATAGGTATTAAAGAATGGTAAGTAATAGTTAAGAGGCAGAACACTGTAAAAAGACCAGACTGTTGAAGTAAACAATTTCCTTAAACGTGGACTTTGAGTCCATGTCTCTAGGACAAATATGCAGTGTTTGGCAGCCACCTCCAGAGTTATCTAGAATCAGTTCTTAAACCAGCATCTTTTGACTATTCCTTTTATAGTACACCTGGTTTTTTTCCTTTTGTTTCTAATTGTTGTGCTTTTCCACCAGGGGATGGTGTTGCCAGGGAAAGTAGTCCGTTTATTAACAGTGCAGAGATGGACAGAGGAAACATGTATGAAGGAAAGAATATGGCTCTCTTTGAGGTAAGTTGAATACCCTGAAAACGTATTTCACCTTCAGTTGAGGCTCTGATAGTGAGATGAAAACAAGCAAGCCCCTGTTTTTTTTCTCTCTTGAAATTTAGTAGGAGGAAAAATCCATTTTGGTAACTCTTCACTATTTGGTTCCTGCTAATGTTCCATTTCAGTAATTTAAAAAAAAAAGTGCTAAATTTTTTTCTTTCTGTATTTTAGTTTATCTGTGTGGACAGGAACAGTAAATTCTGATATGCATTGATGTGAAGACATGAAATAAACCTTCCTGCATTTCGAATTTTTGAGCTAGGATCTAGAAATTCTTGTTAGAGGAAGCTGCTGAAAGCTAAATCTAGTGGTTTTAACAAAGCAGTATCCAGTTTTAAAAGGATTAGCAAATATATTATGTTGAACAGGGGAAACAGAGGCTTCTCTTAAAGCAGCAGAACTATAAAACGAGCTGTGATATAGGCCATGACTTAGTTATATTATCCAATTACAGTGTAGAGCATACCATATCTACTTTCTAATATAAACATCTAATTTATAGTACAAGTTCAATACCTGTTTAATTCACTGAATGATGGCAATCATTTACAGGAAAAAAAGTGTGAGATGTGGTACATTCAAGTGCCACTTCTGCAATGAAATAGTACTTTTAGTGAAGTTTAACCTAAGTTCTGCTCTAGCAACATCGACTGGTCTTGCTTTGATGCTTGCTGTTAACAGTAAACAAGATCCTTCCAACACTGTTTGCTTTGCCATCTTCCTGTTGCATTCTACCCACTATTTTTCGTCATCCTCTTATGCTGCTCTCTTCTTCCTTTCAAGTGTCTTTGCACAGAGGATATGATCTTTCAGTTCCCTCTTTGTGCATGACCCAAATAATCTATCTTTACTATTTTTCACTCAGTCTTAGAGAAGACTGTGCTAAGGATGAAAGTAATGTTGGTCATTAATTGTCTGTTTGCCATGTATGGAATTTCCTACAAACTTTTGACAGAAACCATGGTAGAGGAGTTCTGTCAGCTGAATTTCTCTCCTTCAAGCTCTGTTCCATAAAGCAATGTCCAAAACTTCCTGTTGTTCAAATTAGCTGTTTTATTCCTCAGTGTTGATTAAATTGCATTCGGTCCCTAATCTCATTTGAATATGTGTTTGCATCAGTTATTTGAATAGTGGCTGACATTAAATCCTCAGCTGATGGTGTAACATGACTATCTTCTACACCTCTCAGATTGTAGATGATGCTGTTACAGTGTTGCCTCAAAAGCCTTCTAGTGACTTCGTCACCGTTGCTGTTGTAGTGGTGAATCTTTTTTGGTAGTATATGTGTTTCATAGTATGTTTCTTAAAATCTTATTCTTCTCATGTTTTCAGCTGTCTTGTGTTTGAATTTTTTTTATAAACTGTTACAAAGACGTTTGCCTATTATAACCATGATTATCATGACCTAATGCCTCAGGCAGAGATGCCTTAGCTCTTGGCTTTCTGTTTGCAATCCTGATCTCTTGTCTTCCTTCCAATATTTGATTTTGCGTACTTGATTGAATTCTCTGGTTCTGATTTTTCTTGGAATCCTCCTATTGCATGTGCTTCTCCTGGATTTTATTGTTTGTTTTAGCATGTTTTTGTTTTGTAGCAGATAATTGGCTAAAGAATGGTGGTCTGACTTCTGTGTCAAGTAATACTACATATGATATGTGTATGTGCCTGTGTTTTCAACAAATGAATACTTTGGAAGTAGTATGCATGGCTTAAGATAAAATGTAGAAGACTGCAACAGTAGTATCCTTGGGCATCTTGGTGCTAGAGAGAATCGTTTGAGGCCACTCTCTAGACAGAAGCAACATGCTGGAAAAACACCATGATGACTTGACCCTGCCAGTACAATCCCCTAAAAACTGTATTGACATAGGAATAGATTTTTATAATTAACAATGGCCCTTCTCTAGATTTCCCTTGTATTCCAGCTGTACAAGCTGTATATTGTAAGATAATGTAAAAAAAAAAATTTAAAAAAATTGAAAGAAATGTTGCAAGATAGCCATGTAGTGTTAAACTTCTAGAAAGATTTAGAACTCTCGTTGATTGAAAGCTGACTGGTATCTTGTTATGCTAACTTTTGGATTTGGGTGAATCAGGGGTGACCTGTTGAGTATGTGTTTGAAGTCGTATCATAAAATAATGGATTTAAAAAAACCTGTTTAATAAATGCGATATTCTTAAAATCCCAACAGGAAGAAATGGATAGTAATCCCATGGTGTCATCTCTTCTTAATAAACTAGCAAACTACACTAATCTAACTCAAGGTGTGGTGGAACATGAAGCAGATGAAGACAGCAAGCGAAAGGAAGTCAAGGTATTTAAACTTTTCATAAGTTATTGAGACAAAGCTAGCCACAAAGAGGAGCATTTTTCAACTTGAAAATATGCGGACGCATAAAAACAGGAGTGAGATTTGTAATAGTCTATTTAAAATTAAAGCATTTGCAGTAGGACTTGTATTAATTCAGTGTCCTTGTTAGCGTGTTTTTAGCAAGACCTTGCTATAAAAACCCTAGATAAAATGTGTGCAAAGGTAGAACCTAAAACACAGTGCACCTAGTTTTCTCTTCCTTTGTTTTCTTCTTTCTTCTGTCCTTGTGTAAGCATCAGCACCTTCTGTCAACGTCTAGTGAGGATGCAGTATGTTTTTTTTTTCAGCTGGTTTATGAATACATTTTTGTTGGATAAAGTTGAAATTTAAGGAAAGCTTGACATGGAACAGGTCACTCTTTTAAATCCATAAGCATACTTGTTCCTGTTAACATGGTAGCAATTTTCGAGTACCTCTCTTGTTTGTTTTTGAGTAGCTCGCCTGTTTGTGTCAGAGTATTTTTAAAACTTAATGGACACATTCAAGAAAACATCTTGATGCATACCTCAAAAATATGATACTTATCTGTGGGATGGGGGGAAGGAAATGCAAAGACTCTGTTTGGCACATCCCTAAACTCACTTGCTAGAAGACAGCAACTGAATTCTTCAAGGGTTGTCTACTGGATACCCAAAGAGCCTCTCTAGGCCTCTGTAGAAATGGAACATATGCAACAGTGGGAATCTGCTATGAGATGTTGGATTGATCCCTCTGTCACCAGGGAGCTGTTTCAGAAGGCGAAAGGTTGGATCAAAAACACGTGACCTGACAGTGTACAAAAACTCCCGGGCAAGGAGGGATGATGATCTGGAACTGGTTGAGCATGGTGACTGAAATTTAGGGTAGATACTGGGAAAAGAAGAGTACTGGGAGCCACTATCTTTGTGTAGAAGTGGTGCTGCTGCTGAGTTTGTGTGCTAAGCTATGGAGAAAAGACGAGAAGCACCTGAGAATGAATAAAAGGAAATGGGCGCATAGCAGAAAAAAACAGAGATGAAAAGGTGCTTGAAAGTGAGGTTAGAATTGGAGCTCGCTTGACTGGAAGGGAGATTTATGGAATGGCCCCTGAATATTTGCAGTAGAACTGCTTGCATTGGGGCTTGACTAGTGTAGGAAGTTGGTACCAGGACAATGGGCAAGGGTGAGGAATAAAGTCTGGCTGTTTGTTTTAGCTTTTTGCTTATCCTGCATTTGTTTGGGGGGTGGGTTTTTTGTTTGTCTCATTGTGCTTGTTCTGTATTTGTTTCTTCTCATTTGAAGATACAGCTTGAGATATGAGGAAACCAACACTGATCAACTCAACACTCTTTTGTGATGCCTGTCCTCTGTGCAGAGGATTTTGTTAAAGCAGTAGAGTTAGTACTGCTGGAACTGCCTAAGCAAATGAGTGCTGTGTCCTCGCTTGCACTTCACCTCTAAGCACCATCTGGTGGCCTGAAAACACAAATTCTATGCATTTTTCAGTTCCACGTCTGAAATAAAGTGCTGATTAAGTAGTAGCCTGGCAGAATACCATTTTTAATGGCATAATTGAGACAGTAGCATTGATTATAGTCAAAACTGCATTCCATGGTTCCTTATAAGTACTTGGAAACTTAGTCTTTTCTTAATAATTTTCTTAACTTGTAAAGCACCAATGCCTGCATATTTAAATGGATTGCTGGTTTTCGCAGCCTGAGTTGTGTTTTAAGAGCTTCTGTATCTGGAAACCTGCTGTATGTAACTGTTGCTTCCAAGTTGAGTGTTTCAAGGCCTGATTTCTTCCTAAGTGTAGAAGGCTGGAACTTTAAAGATGACCCTGAATGCTTTGTGTGCCTTGACCCATGACCAGCGTATCAAAAGTACAAACGAATATACAATGTTGAATATCATTTTGTGGGCCAGCTGCAGGGCAATTGATGATCAACTTTTTGCAGAGTGTATTTGGTATTTTGATTATGGCAGTAATTTCTCTTCAATCATAGTTTGGTATTTCGGAAGAAAGTTTGTAAAGGTTTGTGATAAAGAGATAAAGGGGCATCCTGCCCCTTTCAAGGTTACATCTTAACTCCTGTGGAACAATAGGGTTTGCTATCACAAGTAGTTTTCTGTCTTCAGGAATCTTTCTGCATAAACAGCCTATGAATATTTACAAAGCTGGACACCCTGGATCTACCATTCAGTTTCACTTGGCATTTGTTTGTGGAGCATTTGTGATGTTTGCGGAAGGAAGTGTTCATGGACATAAATTGTTTAGTGCAAAGGAATTAATGTTCTGACTTCATTTCCAGGTTCCACGTATGGGCACTTTTATTGGTGTGTACCTGCCCTGCTTGCAAAACATCTTGGGAGTCATCCTTTTCCTACGTTTAACATGGATTGTGGGTACAGCTGGAGTTCTTGAGTCTTTCATCATCGTGTTCATGTGTTGTGCTTGTGTAAGTTAACCACCTTCTTTACTACCAGCCAAACCTTCTGTTATAAGAGTACTGCTGCCTTCTAATATATGAGTAGCAGAGAAAGATTTCTCCATAATGGTTAAGTATCAGTGCAACTGAGACACATGGGGTATAGGTAGATAGCGTGTGTGTGTGTATGTATGTATGCGCTGAGTGTCATGTGTCATTCTAGCCTGTGTGGAGTTTCTTTTGAGTTGATCACAGCAAGCTTTTGTTCAAAGTATTATATGGATTTTATTAGATCAGGTTTTAGTGACTATTTAATGATCTACATTGAGATCTGAGCTGTTCTGCTTTTCAAAACTTCAGAACAAACTGAAATATACACTACAAATCAATCCACAACTTTATATCCATAAATTAATAATTCTGAATGTGAGACACTAATAGAGGACACTGTGATAACAATGGCACTTGATCAGTTTATCACTGTTATTCAATTGGAGTAACAAACATTATCTTTTAAGTATATTCGGTGGTCTGTATTCTTACAGGTCTTTTAAAAGACTCTCGGACGTCTAAATTAACCGAATCTTTTACTGAAAAATTTAGTACTTAATTTACATGGATATCCCTAACAAAAGATATGATTGGTTTTGGTTGCTGCAACATCTTACTAAAAAAATAAAATAAAACAGCCAAACAACAACAACAACAACAAAAACCCAAACAAAGCCCCAACCAAAACCAAACAAAAAAACCACCCCCAAAAAAACTTAAAAAATCGTAGTTTCATTTGATCAGTGTCTTGCCCCATCTTTCAAAAAACTTCCAGTATTTTAAATTTTCTCTATTTCATCTTTCCACAGACTATGCTAACTGCCATTTCAATGAGTGCAATAGCAACAAATGGTGTAGTTCCAGGTAATGAAGAGTTTTATCTTAAATTGTGAATGGCCAAATGATGGAAGCTTAAAGCTGGCATAAGAAACTACTGTAGTCTGAGATATCAGAAGTAATGCTTTTCTGTCAAGTGCATATTTTCTTCTAACTGATTTATAAATAACTTTTTAAGGTGGGATGCAATCTTTTGACTGGACCCTCTGGGAATTATGAACTGTAGCACATTTGTCAGCAATTGTTTGATTCTGTTTGAATGAAAGATAAGATGTTATAATTTAAACTAATGGAGACAGGTCTTCATGCAAAGCAGATTTCTTTACAAATTTACAAATAAGGCTGCCTTCCCCCCCCGAATTTGCCTACACTCCATGTCTAAACACTGGAACTAGTTTTGTTGTTTTCTGCAAGAATAATGGCCAGTCTGCTGGCAGAAATCTTTTTCTATATAAGTTCTCTAGGTTATGCTCATCTCCGTAAATTTTCAGGATAAATGGATGAACTTATTTCTCTTCAATTATGAAGACAATTTTTTAGATGCAGTTAGCCTTTGATGCTCTTATCCTTTTCAGTTTATCGACACATTGATTGATAATACCAGTGTCTGAACAGTTTACCTAATAAAGTTTAAAATAATTCCTCGCTTGCAGAGCTTCTCCAGCTCAGTAAGGGTTTCCAGAACTGATGTAGAAGTTGGGCAAATGTAAACACTATAACTTGGGCAGGGTGTAGAATAATTACATTTCATGGATACAGTACCATGTATGAAATATAAACACAATAGAAAACTTTGTTTCAAATACTTAAAGTGAAATGTAGTTATTCTAATTGTTGTGCAGATAACTAATGTTCTGCTCTTTTTTCCCCCTCGTGTTTTTTTAAGTTCATTGTAAACGTTTTGCTTAATGTCCGAGTGCCCCAGAAATCTTTGAAGTTGGCAATTCTTACACATAGGCAGGTCTGCATTTTCATTTTTTTGATGGTGCCAGTTTCTTATGGAAATGCTGCTTCTGCTGGGATATATGGAGGAGGCAGAAAGCGCAGATAGGAAGCTGGGACTGAAAGAGACCTTCTGAGCAACAGGATCTTGTCTCTTGCAGTTGTATGCAAGAGTGTTATATTTAGTAAAAGAATTCCTGATGCATCATAATTTTTTTTGTAAAAGAATTGATGTGTCCAATTTTTTGTTAGTTTCTCATTTCTTCGTATTGAAAAGCAGTTGCAGACTCTGCCCTTTGATTAGAAGTATATTTCTTATTTGCAGACTAATTTTATACAAGGCTGGTGTATGTTTATTTAAAATAGACGACTTCTGTTCTCTCTCTCCTCTTTCTTTCTCTGTCATAAGTGGGACAAACATCATGAATTTAAGAGAAGATGCAGAGGGAGCCAGGAGGAGCATGCCTTGAGGGGGTTGGGGGAAAGTCTGGATAAAGAACATGAAACTTACAGCCTTATTGAAAAGGAAGTGGTACAGTGGAAATAGGGTGGGTAGCTTGTGACTTAAAGAAAGATGATGCGTGTATATGGGAAATGTGAGTAAGAAAAATTGAGAAATTTAGTGGCAAAGTGAGTAGTATATGGGTAGACAAGAAGAAGTAGTTCCTACTTAACACTTTTAAATGGTACTGAAAAAAGTATCTGTAGTGAAAGTGGTAATGGTTTCATGTACAGAAACAGAAAAGAATGCGTATTAGTGAGAAATTCTATATTGTCCCTATCTCAAAGAAATTATTCTGGCAGTGTATTGTTTGATTGTGAACAGCTTGAGGTTAGAAACTAAAGATTGATTCACATCTGTTTAAACCTGTATATCCTTTCACTAATTTACTTTTAGATTTTTTTTTTAACTTGTGGATTTTCCTGTTTTTTCCTTAGTGTTTGTTTTCTGTTCCCTGGAAAATGCAGATGGGGATGTTCACTTTGAAATGCACATTCTAACTGCCTAGTTGGTACAGACATTGAATACAGTTTTGGTATGAACATCTCAGTAGAGATGTATGCAGCAGTTGTCCTGGTTATGTTGATTGAATGATTCAAAGTTTTGTTCTCTACTGCTATCCTTAATCTGAAGGTCTGGAGTCTCTTTTTTTTTTTTTTTTGGTTGAATTTACAGCTGGTGGTTCTTACTACATGATTTCAAGATCTTTAGGGCCAGAGTTTGGTGGAGCAGTGGGACTTTGTTTCTACTTGGGTACGACCTTTGCAGGAGCAATGTACATTCTTGGTACCATTGAAATTTTATTGGTAAGTACTAGTTTCTCTTTAAGATTAAATGTATTTGGGCTGTTTCAGGAGCCTGAGGAATTTGCTTGGCCTAAAATGTGCTCTAGTTTGGTGATTTTTAATATTTTGATACTATATTTCCAGTATGTCAGTATTTATTCTTAGTCTACTTGTGACTATTTGAAAAAGTTAAAGAAATTCTGATCAGCAATACGATAATAACTTAAAAGTGGTTTCATGTAAGTTTATTCTACTTAAAGTAGGCACCAAATGGAATTTGGTAACTGACATTTACTCATTTGTACCAGATGCAATATATCTGTTGTCACCTTTTCATACATGTTCTGAATACCAAATGTCCCATAAATTATGCCTGTGCTACTGTGCACCTACAGAGTTGCAAGGAAAAGTATATTAATTTTAGTAAGACATACCTAAAACTCCAAAACTAAAGGTATGGGACCAAACTGGAGATATAAACTGGAGATGAAAAATAAATAGGAAATATTCCAGTAGATTTTGTGGGGGAAAAAAACCACTGAATCAACAGGCGGAGTTTGGTGAGATGTTAAGATTTAATTCAGTGATTTTTGTACCAGCTTAAAACTACAACTTTTGTATCAAAAATGACAAAATGCCACAAGAAATAGTGCAGTGTTTAGTGAAATGTCATGTTAGACTGCAGATTTAAGACTCTAATTCTCAGGGCCTCTTGAAATGTCATTTGGGTTTAGTGATGCCAAGTCAGCTATTTTAGTTTTTTTTTTTAAAAAAAACCCAAACAGTTTATTTACAACTGTGAAGGAATTAAGTTGTTCTTTATAAACGTTTGTTTGCATATGTTCATGGTGCGCCACAGCAAACTTACAGAAAGTTTGGTCTGTGTATTATGCTGCTTTTGTGTTGTATGTCCTCATATCCTTTTCAAAACAAAAATGCACAGAGCACTTGCTTTAGGTCACCTTAGACTTGGAATTGAACACCTAAAGATTCTATCTTGAGAGTCAGTTTATCTTTTTTGCTTTGGAGTCTCCCTTTTCAGCTCTGAATAAATTCTAACTCATTTTTTTCCTTTCATCTAACACAAGATGATTTTGATTCTTTTCCTTGTGACCCTAAGTTTTATCAAGTCTGTGGCTTTCATGGTATTACCCATCTTTTGTTTCTTTGTCTTTTCAACACTTTTTTTTTTTGTGATCTTGCTGCAACTTCTCAATATATGGAATCGTAGCATGGTTTGGGTTGGAAGGGACCTTGAAGATGATCTAGTTCCAGCTCCTCTGCCATGGGCAGGGACACCTTCCACTAGAGCAGGTCGCTCCCAGCCCCATCCAGCCTGGCCTTGAACACTGCCAGGGAGGGGGCAGCCACAGCTTCTCTGGGCAACCTGTGCCGGTGCCTCACCACCCTCATGGTGAAGAACTTCTTCCTCATATCTAATCTAAATCTCCCCTCTTTCAGTTTGAAACTGTTACACCTCATCCTATCACTACGCTCCCTGCTAAAGAGTCCCTCCCCACCTTTTCTGTAGGCCCCAAATATCTTGTTTCATTTTTCCCAAGCTGCATGCCTTTGAGACCTGAATCTTTTAGTGAGCTCTTCAGGGGAACTTCCACTTGCTTTCTGTCTACTGGAATTAATTTTCCATTTTACTGTTCTAGTTTTGAGATCATGATTGAGATTTTTAAATCTGGCAACTACTTTATAGTAAGCAGTCAACACACCTAGGTGGCTTTACCTTTCTGTTGGAAGAGCTGCTTACTCTATGTAAGTATGGCATAAGCCCTTTTAAGCCATGTTTTCTTAAGGTCTAAGAGGACTCTTCTTCTTCCAAATGAAAGACAAGCTTTCCCAGTATCGCTCACAAACTTTTCAGCTTCTACAGTGCTTGGCACTGCCACATGCACAGGGGAAAGCTGCTACCCGATAAAAGGGCGTATCTCCTATGAAGCAGGAATTAAGAATCTATCACATTTCCACCTTTTCAGACTACTGACTTTGAGATTTCATATTCCAGCAAAGATGCTGTGGAAGACTGCCTATATGGCAATGGCCCAGCTACTGTGGCTTCGCCTCATCCAGGAGGGGCCAGACAGTTATTGGTCATCATATCAGAGACTGTGCAGATATGCGTAGGAGGTACTTCAGAATTCCTCCTTCTTGTTACTTACTATGGACCACGTCATAAATTCAAAAAAGCCTGGATTTGAAATTAGAGATAGTCCTCACTCACTACCGCTCCCTTGTGAGATCTGGTCTATATTAACAACACGAGCACCATGTCATGTTGGGGATTGGATTTGGTGCACTGTTCTCCCTGCTTAAGGGTCATGCTGGTTTTATGTAATGCTAGTAAATGTGTATGGGGTTCAGCTATGGAATTCAAAGTAAAAAGCCTCTTGGGGTGTCATATCTGGCAGAAGACCTCAGAACATAGCCACAAGGCACAAGTATTGGATTGGGTTTTTCTTCCACTGGGACATGGATTACTTGGAGGGGCAGATCAGTTGTCTGCCTGTGGTTTTCCCAACAAGGCTATGAAGAGCAGGGCAACAAAGCACACAAGAAAACCTTCTGGGCTACCTCCATACAGAGGTACTGTACTGATACTTCTGCAACATCACAATGTAGGATTTTCCAGTGATATGTGAATACTCTATCTGTAATCAGGTCTTTATTTTGCCTTTTTTTTGTTTGTTTTCTTTCATGGTGATGTGACAATTTTCATCTCTTCTAGCATTCTAGTAAATATTAATTTACTAGATTTAAATTTAATTTAAAATTAATTAGTTTAATTTAAATGTAAAGACATTTCTAGGAAAGAATTGCGTATGTCTATTTTTGGATTTTGATTCTGCATGTATCAGGATAGCTGCCTGCTCAAAGTTTCTTCCTGCTTTTAGAAGTTAGATTATTTAAGGATAGTCAGTTTAGCAGTTGTTTTGAAGGAGTGGAGATGTCTCAAGCACCAGTACTCCCCTAATAGCTGAGCAGAGATTTTCTTGTAAAGGTGTTAGAAGAAGGAATAAAGAAGTCTTTATGGTGTAGTACACAAATGTCTCGGAACTATAGGTCAGAGTTTGTCTTTTCATTTGCGTTTATCAGTGTAAGTGCAATAAGCTGTGCTTCCACCTTCTTGTCAGGTAGAACTCAGAACACAATTATATGAAATGGAGATCTGTAAGAGAATCCTGTTTGAAATGACAGTAGTTTAAATTGTCTGATTTAGCATAGGTCTAAGCTTTGTCACACAAATCTTAAATTGTGCTGTTGCAACTTAATTTAAGGTAAACTTGCCATAAAGCCTTTTTCAAAGTACTATGTTTAAGGTATCCGTGTTTGAATTGTATGAAATATAGTGCAGGGACTATAGTACTGAAACCACTTTTATTTTTTTGTAGTGCTTTTGTTTGACTTCATAATTTGTTACAATCAATGGAATTATTAATTGGCAAATGCTTCAAATGAATCTAAGGATATATCTGGTTTGAGCTAGTTTTTGGGTTTATTTTTTGGGTTTGTTTTCTTTTTTTTGTCAGTAGCTCCCCCCTACCTTGGTCACACACCCCCACCCCACCTCGATCCTGAGTGTTTTTTTCCTGTCTGGCAGAGAAGTGAATTTGAGGAGTGGAAAGTCTTAAAGGGGAGAGAAGAAGCTGGATCAAAAGCAGTACCTCATTCTCAAAACTACATTTTTTTTATCCCTACCTCCTATTTCCTTTTACCTCCACGCTTTCTAAATGCCTATGTCATCTGGTTGAACTGGTTTGTGAAAGAAGAAAACTGATATTGTAATAGAAATTTAGATTTTGAAGCTCGAGTAAATTATTCCTTAATAAAATGTTTGTTATTAGATGTGTGATAGTTTGCCATATCTCTTGCAGACCTACATTTCTCCAAGTGCTGCTATATTTAAAGCAGAAGAAGTTGGTGAAGAAACAGAGGCTATGCTGAACAACATGAGAGTTTATGGAACGTGTATTATCATTCTGATGGCCATAGTAGTTTTTGTGGGAGTAAAGTATGTCAACAAACTTGCACTGGTCTTCCTTGCCTGTGTGATTCTTTCCATCATTGCCATATATGCTGGCGTTATTAAGACTGCTTTTGACCCACCTGACTTTCCGTAAGTGCAATTGATCTTTCAGTAGTGTGAGTTATTTAAAAAACAAAACAAAAAACTAGGGGGAGGGAATAGCTGCTGTAACCATTTCATGTTTTAAGCTAAACTTCAAAATACAAGCATGTTGGCTTCAATAGTGTGTTTAATATGTTTTAGGCAATTATGTGCTCATTTATGATTCTGAGTTAACTGTCTGAGTCTTTTTAATATGACATGATATTCTGGAAAATGTTCTTTGGCACCTAAAGTTACTGGCTGTTATTCCATCCACACCTAAGGAACAGGAAGGTGTTTTTTGCTGACAGGAAATATAGTGGCTTTATCTAAAGAATTAAACTAAAAACCTATAGAATAAAGTAAAAACTTAAAGAAAACACTGTAGCTGTAAACCATAGTTATGAAAGAAATATACTTACAAACTCTTTGTCATGAAGAAAGTTTTGAAACTTCCATTTCTCCATACTTAAAATGGAGGCATTGCAGTGTTAAATTGGTTTGTGAAGGCTTTCTACCTTCTTGTTAAAAAAAATAAACAAACAAAACTTTACTGTTGTCCTACATGGCATGTTGCCTCTCAACACCTTTGGCTTGTACCTCTCTTAGCTCACTAAGAATTATTTCTTTTGTCCATTTATCAGTCTGTGAGTTGCACTGTTGTGTATCTTTTTCTGTTTGGAGGGAAAACAATGATACTGTTAAACACATTAACAGAATAGCCTGGTAACTTTTATAACGAAGTGCCGTCTGTTATGGAGGACCGAAGTTATTCTTTGCTGTGCGATTGTTACAGATTCCATAGTACTTTGAAAAGTTGATGGTCGTGTTACAAATTGAGCATTAAAGCAGTCTTTGTGGATTGTACCGTAAAATGATATCAAGTCTTCTATTGAAAAAATAAGTGTGTTCAAAACTGACATTTTTCTGGAGAAAGCTTGAATTTCTAAGGAACTGTTATTTCCAGTAGGGAAATACTTAAGTCTTGTAGTCACCTGTATAGGTAAAGAAAGGTTTCTCTGGATATGTAGCATAGGTAAGACTTTATTACCAAGTTCCTGGACACCTTATCTGTGGCTGCTACTGTGATATGTTATTGTTTGGGGGTGGGGAGGGGGAAATAAAAGCTATCTTCTAATAAATATAATTGTTCGTATTTTGGCCAGTCTGCCTTAAAATGAGAAACTCAAGTGTGGTTTTATATTATGGTAAAGCTGATCTAGTGGTGAACTGGTTACCAAAACCACCAGCTTCCACTTAGCTGTTTAGTTAGGTTGGCATCACTGACCTCTGTTAGGTTTGGCCGTTGTGTAGATAGATGGTAAAATAGTTTACATCATGGTCTCCCAGTTGAATCAGACTGGAAGCCGCTTCTGTGGGCTGAATCAACTCACCCTGCTGCTACAGGGTCACCAAATCAATAGCAATTAAAAAGAAAAATGAGCAAGGCAAGTGGCAAGGCGATCTCTTCAGCAGCAGCTCTCTGTTAAATCTGCTCAACTTCCATGTGTTGCTGTACCCTGAGGCCGTACTGGTGAGCTGTGCTCTTCTCCAGGCATCTACTCTTCATTGCTGTCAGAAACAGGATATTGCACTAGGGAGATGTTTTGCTTGGCTTGTATGCTTGTTCTAATGCCAAGTGGTATGGTTTTACTGTTCCTTACCAGTTTCTTAACTGAGCTCCTTCAGAAGTATTATGTGCACTATTTCTTTGACTTACTTGCCTAACACAAATGTTTTATTTGATGTTTGTTCTTCCATCTTCATAATAGATATCATTAATTAGGCAAGCCTGGAATATATATCTCCTAAACATATTTTGTGTAGCTTAGTACAGAAATGTGCCTAGATCCTTAATATTCTTTGCTGTTAGGAATTTTATTTTTTGCAAACTGTTCTGAGTTTTCTAACTTTCTTTCGTTTGAGTGTGTTAATTGCTTCCTGCTACATGATTTCTTTTTTTCTAATTTTTACTTCCACCAATGTTTTAAAATTTTACTATTTAACCCTACTGGCTTATTTCCTGCCATTTGGATTTTAATATTTTTGAGGTCCATATAAAATATTTATTTGCTAGAAAAGAGCATGACATACTTGCTTAATCTTACTTTTGTATTTTCGTGGTCAGGCTCATCATTATATTAAGTAATACTTAATTTCCCTTCTTGTAGGACTGAATGAATCATGATATCTGTTATTTAGTGGCCGAGCTGCTTGAGTTGATTGTATTTCCAAAGAATAAATCAGAAGGCAAAATAGCTATTAATACCTTAAAGTATGTTTAATCAGTGTTTTAAAGAGTATTGATGATAGTTTTATATGCAGAGACTAGGTACCGTTTTAGTAGATGTAGTATAGGCCATAAGATGGGTACTGCGAATAATGACTTTATTAAGAAGTCCAATGGACAGAAATGGTTTAATGCACCACACAATATTGAAGGATCACTGTTTTTATTATTTTGTTTATAGTATCTGTCTCCTTGGAAACCGTACATTGTCGAAACGCAGCTTTGATGTCTGTGCCAAATTTACTGAAAGTAATAATGAAACAAAGACTACAACTTTGTGGCGCCTATTCTGTGATAGTCCTTTGCTCAATGCTACGTGTGATGACTACTTTAGACTCAATAATGTAACAGAAATTCAAGGGATTCCAGGAATAATGAGTGGAGTTCTAACTGGTAAGTGGGAAAGCCCAGTGATTTCAAACTCTTTGGACATCATTGATTTGGCCTGTAACTGTTCAGTAACATAGTAGTCTAGCCTGTTACTGCTGCTTTAGCTCTAATCTGTTTGCGTGAAAGATTGCTACCTGGAGCGTGCTTCCTGCTGTAAAGCTTTCATCTGGTTTTAGAAGCTTAGTATGAAATGCTGTAATTTGGGGATCATTAGAGTTTTATAAGCACTCTTTCAAAAGCCATTGTTCTATCTGGGGGAAAAAAAAAGTAGGAAACTGTTTTTCACAGCTAACTTTAAGTGTTTAGCTCTTTCGTGTACCAGATACTCTTACTGAAATAAGCTATTCATTAATACATTCTTAAACTCTCCTGAGGGAGAACTTGTTTCCAATTTACAGGTGATGCATTGAGAAATTAAGTCCTGTGGCTTATCGAATGTGTGATACAGCAAGTTAGTGGTGGTTTTGGAGAACAGCAGTCTTTCTAGCTTCCAGTCTAGTATTTGGACAGGAGACGTTTTACAAAATGTATAGATTTTCTTCTGTTTTCATTCATATACAGTTGTGGCAGCTTGGGATTCCACTTGCACTTGAACATGAGTCATTTTGAACATATAATGGATTGTATTGTACACAAACAAAGAATGCGAAGATCTGTAACAACAACTGAGAGTCTGCTGAAAGCTCAGTGTGAGAGATGCATCTTCCAGTGTTCGTTGCTCGATGCTTACCTGTAGTGAATATCATCAGTGGCATTCTGTTCAGTCACAGAATCTGGCATTCTGTTCAGTCACAGTCTGACATGTTTTTTCTGTAGTTCTTTGCAGTTGGTTTTGCTTCTACAGCTTTGAATAAAGGTGTATTACCAGTAAGCTTTCTCATCTTGCTACTAGCTCTATTTTCAAGCCTGAGTGTACTGGAAAGCATGGGTTACATCCTGCTACTGATCCTTGTAGAAGCTTACTGGTGCCTTTCTTGCATTACACAATGATATTTACGCTTAGCTGTTGTTTTCTGTCTTTGAACCATTTTTTATCCCATGTGAAGAGTGTTCCTCTTATCCCATGGCTACTATAGATTCCTTAGGTGGGGAATCTTTCAAAAATGTGGGAAATGCAGGTGGACTGAGTTAAGTGGGTTGCCTTCATTTACATTTCGCTTAAGGAACTTGAATACTTCTTACAACTGTCTTTTATGAAAGCTGTGCTGAGACTTCCGCGATTCCTCAAAACTCAAGGAAAAAAAAAAAGAAACCAAAACTGAATAGGTGTCGGTTTTGTCAGAACTCCAAGATAACACCCATGTGTTTGCTGCTTCTATCCATTGCTGTTGTTGCTATCAGCTGTTCATACGCAGATGCTACTTGTGAGCCTTTAGTTTCCTGATCTCTCTGAAATGCTCTTAAAAAGTTGGCCTTAAGTTTGTCACACTTCAGTCCTTGGGTAGCAATGTGATTTTTGGATAAGCTCATAGTTAGCACCTCAGGTCTTTCAGTATTCTTGGAGGTTTCAGGCTGAGTACTAATTTTTCTGCTTCTGGAAAAATGTGCTCTGGTTTCTGTGAATTAGCACTGCTGTGTAGAAGTGCATTTCGTTATCCTAGTGTCATGTAATGCAAAGACTGAATAAAATGGATCTTCTGTCCTGCTTTCTAAGCACGCTTCTGATACCTAATATAAGCTTGAATTTGGCTGGCAAAGATTTCTCAAGGAGGGTTTTTCTCCACTGATAGCGTGTGTTCTGCTTTGTGAGAGGACTTTGCAGCTGCAGACTCTGCAGATTTAAGTTTCTTGAGCTGTGGCCAGGAATATTTGAATATCATGCCTGGGGGTCTCAGGAGACGTGTGTAAAGTCCTCACACCATTTACTGGGCGCTTGTGTACAGTAAGTATGCATCTCTTACACACCTTCCATGAATCTTGTCCTAACATTAATAAATCATTCTACAAATAGCTGACCGAACGTGGCCATGAACGCAGCCCTAACAATAATGAAATAATTCTACAAATACTTTCATCAACATCGCTCTGCTTAACATAGCATATTGTTGTGTCAGGTATGTTCTACCTGATCTCGTTTGTGTGTCCCCAAATGTTGCTAGAGGAGCCTCAGCAACCCAGGAATGATCCTAGAAGGGAAACCTACCTCCACACAAATGTCTGGACTCTTCTAAAAAGTGACCCTTTTTCCTCACCCTAGCTTTCAAGTCTGATTGGATTATCACTTTGGGGAAAATGAGCATAGGAAATTAATGTATCAAAGCTCTGCGTGACATCTTATGAAAGGGGCAAGTGTTTTGGTTTTTGTGTGTGGGTTGTTTTTTTTTTATTTTACAAAGTCTCTGAGCTGATTTAACCTGCTTGCTGGCATGCACGCTTCCACGACTAGAGCTGTATGCATTTGACTGCTCAGGCCATTGTCACTTCTGTGTCACATTGAATAAAGGACACAGGCTGTCGAGTCCTCATTAAGTATTTCGTGCTTTTGATGGGCAATGACAAACTGATTTTTGGACTTTCTTTTTATGCTCTGTAAGGAGTGGATGCTAATTTGGAAATCATGCCTTGTTTTATATCACTTCTCAAATCTTTGCTGAAATTCCTGAAGTTTATGGTTCTTTTGTGTCCTTAACTGTTCTTTTTATGGCTTTGGTCTTATCTCTAGATCACTTTGTAACTCTTCATTTGAATGAACTAACACACATAGAACTGTAGCAATTGGTACTTACTTTCGTTTTAATCTTTGTTCTGCTCTGTCTTAACGTTTCTCATGCATGCTTCCATATATGCTTACCAGTTGTGTGCAATATTTCTGTTACAAATCTGGCTGCAAGTACCCTGTCTTTGGCCACTTAGAGAGATTCAGAGTCAATCTCCTGTTGTGCTCCAGGTAACCTTGTGCTGTTGTGAAGGCTTAGAATACTGTGCTTAAGGGATTAGGGTGTACTGGATGGCTGAAAACTTGCTATCAGGTCCATCATCCTAGCAGTCTGTGGGAACTGTTTATTTCTGTGGTGTAAAATCCTTTGAGTTTTTGACAGGGAGGGAGAGCATCTGCTTTGTTTCCTCACACGTGGTAGGACAACTTTTCTCGTTTTTAAAATAAGAATCAGTGCTGAATGTTCTTACCATCTTGTCAAGGGGCACAAACAGTGTTTCCACAAACGTAAGCTCTCAGAAGCTACTGGTTCTTTGACCTGTCAGTCTTCATCAAACAAGCTTCCTTAGTTTGGGGAACTTGAGCCACATTCTGCTCTCTTGCTTGCTTTGTTTTTTTGCTTATCAGTTATCTTCTGAAGTCTGGTTACTCTGCTTTTGTTGCTATGTGGAATACCTTTACCACAAACAGCTGAGTCCTGAACTGTTGTTCAGGGTTATTCTGTACAGCAGGTCTCAAAGAACTCAAGTTACTGCTAAGTAGCATTTCTTTTTTTGACCTGCCTCTCAAAATATGAGAGATGAATATATGCCAAGGTTTCCTGAACCTAGAATAGTTCCTTATTTTTTTTTTCACAATACATCCTGATAATATATCGATATGTCTGTGCAATGTAAGTGGTCTACCAATATGTTAGTATTTAATTCTATAACTTAATCTTTCCTTAATAGAAGATAAAATCTTGTATAATGCATCCCATACATTACTGCATTTCTGCTGGCATATAGTGGGCATGTCCACCAGTTATAATTGGTATTGACCAAATTGCTGCTGCATTCTTGGCTTTAAAAGGAAATGTTGTGAAATACCATGATTTTTGTGTAAGAAAAGCCATCTAATTCATAAGACTATTGCATTCTCACTACTTAATATCCTGAAACAGAGAGATGACTCTGGCTCTTATTTTCCCCCTTCACAGATAATCTGTGGAGTACCTATTCAGAAAAAGGATCAATAGTTGAAAAAAAAGATCAGCCATCAGTTGCTGGATCAGAAGAGACAAAAATGGGTGGACTCCCTTATGTTTTTACAGACATCATGACCTACTTCACAATGCTTGTGGGGATTTATTTCCCGTCTGTGACAGGTAGTAGATACAACTATTTTTCTTGAGTGAGGATGTGTATTTACAGCTGAAAAAAGATTATTGTGTGTATGTGTGTGTGAAAATGTTTATTGATGACACTGATATTTCTAGTCTATGTGTCCAAGTTTTATGTACCTAAAACTTTCTGGTGCTAGAGAGATGTGGCTGGTTATTTTAGGAGGTTATAGGATTTAAACAAGGAATCAGTTTAAGTGTAATTTTCTATGTCTGGAAGAAAACAAAAGCTCCATATGTTGCCAAATGCTTATCCAAAGTAAGATGCATACCTTTATAATAATTTAATCTTCAAATGCATGAGAGAACAATTGAGTGTTAAGATGGTTTCAAATATTCAATCCGTGAACCACCTGTGATTTGTTTAAATGTCTCATATTTTTTGCAACTGTAACTGGTAGAGACTTGTTTGTCAAGCTTAAAGGTTAGATCAGTTGTATATGACTTCTCTCACATCACATTTGACTGAAATAACCAGAGACATTTTTCTTAAGTCCCAGCTCAGGCAATTGTAGTATCAAGTAACAGAACAGAACTCTGGTAAGAAGTTGCAGCAGTGTTTGCTAGTAGAATAGCAGGCAGAGACATCACTTCGTATTCTTGGCTCTCATTTCTCTACTTCAGGCTCTTTAACATCTCATCATATCTGAGCCTGCAGTTAGTGTTTCATTGCATGGAGTTTGACAATGCTTTTGCACTAGAATGTCTTGATATTAGCTTCCACGTTTTGCCTCCAGCAGTGGTCAGGGCAATTCTAGGAGATGGTAGAATTAGTCAGTTATTGTATGATTTTTCTATCCTGTCACAATACGTGCTAGAAAATATTTTTGTTCTCTTGTTGGTCAAACATGGGTGTGTACATGTGACTTCCTAACCATTCTTCTTGTACTTCCTGCCTGCTCCTTTCCCTTTTTTCTATATTTTTATTTAGTTTATTGATTTGCTTGTGTACCTTATTATGTATGGTCTGTTTAATAGAAAGCTAGTGCATTTGGTCACAGTAGCTAAAACTGCTAAATCCACATTAGTTTATAACATGCGTCCCCAACATTTTGCAACTCCTGTATATTTTCCCACTTAAAGAGCAATTGTGAAGTTATATTTGGAAAACAATTCTTTCAGTTTTTAAATCTGTCTCTTTCCTGAACTTTCTGGAATTTGTTCAGTCACCAATGGGTGGTAACACAAGTTTCTGAATAAAATGAAAGTATAAATTGAGGATTTGTGCAAGATTACAATATGCCTGCTCTGTTGGTAATGATGTGTTAAATGAGGCTTAAAGTTAAATGTTCTTATTCTATTAGTTATTTACATGGAGTTAATATTAATTGTTTTTATGACATATAAATTTGGTCTCTCTTTAAGGTATTATGGCAGGTTCAAACAGATCTGGAGATCTTAAGGATGCTCAGAAATCTATTCCTACTGGAACAATTTTGGCTATTTCAACTACGTCTTTTATTTGTATCCTTTATGCTGTGATTTTTTTTTTTTTCTATTGTGCATTCTGTAGTTACAACAGTGTAGTTTTTTTATTGAAAAGTCATTAGAGTTGCCTGAATATAGAATGAATGAAATCTAAATTGAAAAGAACTACTTTATATTTGTCTAAAATATAAATTTCATTTGCATATAAAATTTTTTAAATATATATTCTATATTCTACTAGTGCTTCAACTTTCAAGATACAGTTGAAGTTTTTAGTTAAGTGATATAGAGGTTTTAGCGATCTGCCAGCTGAAGCATAATGCTATTGTTGTTACACTCAGCATAACTAGTGGAAAATACCAGCAATAGGAACTTAGTCCTTCAATACTTAGAAGACACAAAAGCTTATTTGTATGAGAACATGTCTGTTCTGCTGCATGCTGTATGAACTGGCTGCTTTCAATGCTTCACAAATCACCTGTACATCTAATGCAGTCTTAGAGAACATGAACTAAAAAGTTGTAGGAGGGAAGAATTAAAAAAAAAAAACCCAACCAGAACAAACAAAACAGTAACTCCCCCATGCACTCTTCATTATCATGGACACTTTCGTTTCATCTCTAGGTGAAAAATGCTGTGTGTTTTTTTTTCTCTCTGTACATATGATTTATAGTGTAATCTTCCTTCAGTCTCAGTAATAGATCTCTCCTGTATAGTGTTGTTCGGTGCCTGTATAGAAGGTGTGATATTAAGAGATAAGTAAGTCATATTCAACTTTTAATTTTATAGGAAGTATGCATGATCATGGGTTATGTTAATAGGATTTATTAATAGCTGTTCTGGAAAATATCTGTGGTGTGTTCTTTTGCTTAGACATTTTCTACAGTTTTAATCTATCTTTTAAACTGAGGTGGCTGCAAAAACTGGTCAGGTTATCAGGCTGTATCCCTTCAAGAAGCAGAATCTGAGATAAATGAAGTGGAACTGTCCCTGTCTATTGACAGAGCCAATATCTATAAACTGACATTTTTTAAAGTAACATATTTGAAATTTACTGGGGGATGTGGAATTCTGCAAGCTGTGAGTGTGGGTGATCTGTCACTGGAGCAGGATGCCTTGTAGCAAGATTGACTCCATGTTCATTCATTTACACTGCTGCCAGTTCTTGTTTGGCTGACATCCAGTGTAACAGTAAAACGTATGGATTTTGATCTGGTTTAAAGACTGTTTTGGGGCGGCTTTTTTTGTTACGGATTGTCATATCTGCCATGGGGAAAAAGCAGGTTGTACCTCTTGCAGTTTGTCTTCCATCTTTTCAAGTTGTTCCTACCTTGTGTTTAATTAAAACACATGCATTAGAGTTTGAATGAAAAATGAATGTGCAGCTGTATAAATATCATAGAAGCATGATTATGGGTTCCTCCTGTATTTTTAAAGTGTGCGGTTTCCCCTTTTTCTATCTACTGAAAGTAGTCTGTAGCCATACATCCAAGCTTGGGGATATGCAAGAATTTGAACACTGACTTGTTATATTAACCTGATTACTATGTTTCTTTACCCCACTTAAGAGCAGGTCTGAAAAGAGATAAAGCACATAATTTTTCATAGTCTGTAACCTTTTCTTTTCTCTGGTGTTTATTTTGAAAAGCCTGAAAATATTGGGGGTGGAATTATGCTATCAGTGTAGATAGTCTTAAAATGGCTTTTTTTTTTTTTTTTTTGGCTGCTTACTAAACAAAACTAAGGTGAACTACAAAAATTTTACTTGCTTTTAAAACTAAAACATCAGATTGAAGCAGGGAGGGGAAGAATCTTTTTTCTAGGTTACCCAAGATGTCCGTAAATGAATGTAAAGTTAATTATCTTACCAAAAAAAGGCAGTGGCATTTGATGGGACGCTCCCATTGTAATGAAAGTGCTTCTTCCTGACTTCCACCCCTTTGTTTACCATAGCCATTTAAAAATTGCAGCAGGTAGCATGACAGTCAGAGTATGTGGATAGCTTGAAATAGTGTGTCTAGTAGTTTCTCTTTTTACTTGCCCATAAGTCAGTGTCACACTACTAAAAGGAAAGGCTGGTACTTTGTTTTGCTAATCTCCTGTTTATGCCCCAGGGTATACCTGTATTACTTGTAGAATAGACATCTGGGATTAGTTCCTAGCAGTTGGAAGGGCCTAAGGGTTGCTATGTAAATACTTTTGCTGGTCATCCTCTAAAGTTTGCCAAGACCTGGTAACTGCTGCATGTCTGTTTAGAGGCAGCACTTATAATGAATCAATTATGTTTTCTTTAAAACAGCAGAACAACGAGAAATTTATTGGCTGGGAAATCCTGCCATGTGTACTGTGACACGGTGTTTATTGTTGAAAAGTGCTGTAGTCCAAAAAGATTGAAACGTGGGTGTTGAAGCTATAGTAAAAGTTATTTTAATGCTTACAGATTTCTTTTTTTTTCTTTTTCTCTCCCCCACCCCTTCCCTAAGGTTTGGAGAAGCAGTTAATGGAAATCTAGTCGTTGGTACACTGGCCTGGCCTTCGCCATGGGTTATTGTGATAGGTTCGTTCTTTTCAACATGTGGTGCTGGTCTTCAGAGTCTCACTGGTGCACCCCGTCTGTTGCAGGCAATTGCAAGAGATGGCATTGTACCATTCATTCAAGTGAGATTTTTTTTTTTTTCTTTACCGTACTTCAAATATGGCTTATATTTTGACAAAAAAAGTATTGTTTCTGTTATTCTTGTAGAACTGTGAGGAAAAGATTTGGAACTCAGTTCTAAGTGTGTACAATAATGGGTCAAGTTATTGTAGGATAAAATTTGAACTTGGATATTTCTGTGCAATGCAGCTTAATTACTTTAGTTCTTAAACATAAAAGTTAGTGGTTCAAAACTCAGAATACAAATCTTCTGTAAATGGAAATAAATGAACTAAGAAGCAACTAATAACTGAATTTCTTGGCTCCAGGTTGTGCTTACAACTTGCACTTGTGAACAGTTGGCTTAATCTGACTGTGGAACTGCATGATACTTCCCGTATTGTAGAGATACAGTTCTAATTTTTATTTATTTTTGCAAGCTAAATGAAGTCAACAAAGATGATTCCGAAACATTAAGATTGTTCTGACATCCCTGTGCATGTTTTAAAAATAAATTGGATTTTTCCTCAAAGGAAGTGAGTAAGGGAGCTGGAAAACAGAAGGAAATAAGAGAACTCTTGCTGGAAGATATTTAACACAATTGCTGGACTGCATCTGCAAAAACTAGACAATTAGACTTGAGCTAAAAAACAAATAAATAAAATTCCAAAAGATTATAATGTCTAGAGAGCAAAGCTGTGATTTCTGTGGTGAAGTTTGGAGTTTAAGAGCTTACCTCAGATTGTAAAGAATAGCTGGCAGAGCATGATGATAATGTACCAAGAACAGGTTCAAGTACATAAAACAGGATTATGTCTGAGGAGCTATGACTGTTTGGGGAATGGCTGTCAAATCTAGCGCGCAGAAAGAAGTTGCAGATAGCACAGACACTGAAGGTGGCTAGGGCTGAATTTAGGAAAATAGGCTGTTCTGTATGGAGAGAGTCTTGAGGATGATTTGGAGCACCTGCTTTTATGTGTCTCTTTGGGAGGTTTATATCATTATTTTGATACCCAAGTTATGTGGCCAAACTTATGTTTGAGTATTCCCTACTTTACCCTCTGGAGTCTTGATCAGGTGTATGCTCTAGGTCAGTCTCTCACATCTGAGGTTGGTGTAGTGTGTTATGTTAAAAATGGGCTATTACTCTTGGTGAATAACTTAAGACTATTCAGAGATACCTATAATCTGTCTTCAGTGAGGGCTATGTATAGAGTAGCAGCAGCTTAGTTTGGTTCCTGAGTTTGGGGAAAGGCTACAACAAGCCAACACATTGATGTATGACTTGAGGAGAAAATACCTCAGCTGAGGTGTGCCTAGGACTGTTATGAATGATGGGTTAGTTGGCAAATTTGAGTGGGGTTGGGGAGCGGGGGGAACATCTGAGGGGAAGGGAGGTGTGCAGAATATGTGGGAAAGGGAAAATAAGAAAGAAGAGGACTTGTGTGAGGGGGAAGGAGTGCACAGAGAATGGGTTAGAGGAGATGGTTGGAACAGCTGAGAAGCAAATCAAAATGGTAGAGATAATGCTAGTGGCTTTGGAGCAGTGGGTCTTCTTTTTGTGTGTTGTTTTTTGGTGGTGTTTTTTTCTTTAAAGGCAGTTCGTACTGCTGTTCCCAGCTTTTTTTCTCAGTCTATACACTAAGTAAATAATGCTAAGTGTGCTGGGGTCGGAGGATAGAATCCTGATGGAGTTTGACTTGTGGGAAGGGTTTGTAACACAATAAATTGTAAATGCTTGGTTGTATTGAGACACAAATGAAAAAACTCACTTCTGACTGAAGTAAAAATTTGGTACTTGGTGAGAGGGTGACAGTATGATTCTGACTTATCAGGGTTAGATTTGAAAGAAGTGAAGAATTGAAAGGAAAAAATTTGTGGTTTGGGAAGTGAGGGAAAGGGAATCCAGGAGAAGCAGGATGTTTGAAGGGGGATTTGAGACTTTAAAAGTGCCTGCAGTTTTGGAATGATATAGCTGCTGCATGGACAATTAAGGAAATGATTGCAAGGAGATTAATATAGGGGCAAGAGTATGACGTTTAAGAAAAAAAAAAAAACAAAAACAAAAACAGAAGACTTGAAACATGAACAGAAAAAAAGTGGCATTTTAGTATAAGAGAAGGAAGATTGATGGATGACAAGAAGCTAAGGAAAAAAGACAGTATGGAGAATGAGTGAGGTGAAGGACCTAGATGTTTGGAAAGGAAGCAATTACGTAAAGTGGGAGTGAGGGTTCAGTCTTTATAATTGTGTGGAGGAACATGGAGGAGAATAAATGTGGCTGGAACTTCAGGTGAAGCAATTTGCCATCTGTCACCAGTATAGCTCAATAGAATTCTCCCCAAAGGAAATTGCCACGTGATTTTTGGCAGGGCTGTGTGCCGGATCATAGGCTTACCTAAATCCTCTTTAAAGATCAGTGTTTATGTTTGTAAGTACTCAATTGATGCCTGTGTTATGTGTTACAAAAAGTACTGCCCTCAACTATATTAGCTTTTCGTTAATTAAGCATAATTCTGATGGATGTGGATTTTAAGTTACTGAATATTATTTCAACAGCAACTGCAATAGCACTTTAATGTTATGTAGTCATTGCTTAGTTTAGTAAACATTTTTCATATTGGACATGTGTGGGGTTTGCAATTGTTTATGGCTTTTTGTAGTATAGATTGCTCCATTTTCTTTTTGACTAATGACTATTTTTGGTTCCAGTTAGATTTAGTTCACAATCTGTACCATGTTTCGTAACTGTATAATGAACAGCTTTCCCTAATCTTACTGTTTTCTTGAATTGAAATAGGTATTTGGTCATGGAAAAGCAAATGGAGAACCAACTTGGGCTCTGCTCCTCACTGCTGGCATTTGTGAAATAGGAATTTTGATAGCCTCATTGGACAGTGTAGCACCAATTCTTTCAATGTAAGTATGAATGTGGTGGTTTGTGTTCTTTAAGTTCAATAGTATCTTAGTTTGAATTTAACTGGTAATGATTTTTCTTTTTGAAATAATACATGCTATTCCTATTTGATCCTGGAGATAACTTATAGGCACAAAAAAACTTCTCCCATGACAGAGTTCTTGAATTCTAGTAAAAATGTGTTCAACTTAAAAACCTGTTTTTAAAATAAAAGTTTCTGCTATTGTAGTTCAAGTGCATCTGATGGAGACAGACAAAATAATATAATGTTTTAGGGTATGAACTGAACTTTGTTACTGACTTGGTCTTGGAAGTTTATCCCATGTGTTCATGGGTTGACCCCAGTAGGCAGCTCAGCCGCACGCAGCCACTTGTTCACTCCCTCTGAGTGTGGTGGGGGAGAGAATCAGAAGGGTAAAAGTGAGAAAACTCGTGGATTGAGATAAAGGCAGTTTAATAGGTAAGGCAGAAGGTCAGTGCAAAATCCAAGCAAAATAAGGAATTCCTTCACTATTGATAGGCAGATGTTTAGCCATTTCTAGGAATGCAGGGCTTCACTATGTGTAACTTAGGAAAGCAAACACCATTAAGTCCAAATGTCTCCCTCCTTCCTCCTTTTCCTGAGCTCTTACTGCTGAGCATGATGTCATAGACTATTGAATATGACTTTGGTCAGTTGTGGTCAGCCATGTCCCCTCCCCAAGACTCTGCTGGCAGGGCAGCAAGAAAAACAGAAGTCCTTGATGCTGTGTGAGCACTGCTTGGCAACAGCTCAAACATCCCAGTGTTATCAACGCTGGTTTGGTCGCAAATCCAGAACATAACACCATATGAGCTGCTATGAACAAAATTAACTCTATCCCAGCCAAAACCATTACACTATGATTGTCAGTTGTTTGCTGCATTTTCTCTGAAATATTTGTTTAAGGATCTATGCTAATACTGTGTTTTGAGGCCTAATATTCTACAAGTATTAATTTAATCTGTGTCTTGTGTTCTGTTGGCCACTGTGAACGCAGTGTACAAGTTCCTACCCTTTTTAGATTGTGTTCAGGCTTTTAATGCAAATCTCTCTAGTTAATTTCCTCTTGGAAAATCCTCTTTTTTTTTTTTTACAGGTTTTTCCTTATGTGCTATTTGTTTGTAAATCTGGCTTGTGCAGTTCAGACGCTTTTACGGACTCCCAACTGGAGACCTCGTTTCAAGTATTACCATTGGTAGGGAATATTCCTTCATTCAGAAGAGTTAAAGCTAATTATGTAGCCCTAAATTGTTGATTTTTCTTGCAATAATAAAACAAAATCTCCTTTCTAACTTAAGTGAGTTACAAGATAATTCATGACCTGAATACTCTAACAGCAACATTTACTTTGACGTGTTTGGAATAGGGCTAGTAATAGCTGTGATCACAAAAACAGGTGGCTAACGTAGAGGGTTTGGGAAGGGGCTCTGGGATGACATTTGCTATTGTTTAAAAGCCAAGAGATCTTCTGAGTCTGTGAGAATGTATTTTTTTTCCATCTTCAATCTGCCTTTTATATATAGATAAGGAGAACTGGTAAAATGTTTAGGAAGGTTGATATGATTTTCATTTTAGTTCTACAAAAAAAAAATACAAACCCAAAACTTGTACAGAAAAAATCTCATTTTACTGTACGTCAGTTGGCTCTTTAAAAACAGTGATCATATCGTTAAAGTATGTCATAATATGGACATTGGATTTGATAACTGAAATAGACAAGTAGATGCTTGACAAAGTCGGTAAAGGTCAATTACACAAACTATGGATGTGTATTTTTGGTTAGGTTTTTTAATGGCTTAGGATTTCAAACTAAGATTGGGAAACTTTTAAGTTTTTTTTCTTTACTGAATGTTAAAAGTACATATGTTTGTTTAATTAACAGTAATTCTATTGCAAAATTTTAGTGCTGAAATGCCTTAAAGACTAGAGCCTTTAGGAGATAAGCTGGCCTGATTCTAGGATGTAAGAATTGCTTCTTATTTTTCTGTTTAAAGAATGGAGTGAAAAATGAAACGCTGGTTTAGGCCTGAAAAATCTTTTTGAATATGCTCAGTAGGCATTACTAGTTTGGCATCTAAACCTCCAAATACATCAGTGCCTGTCTCCCAGTCCATCACTGCAAACACCTAGTAGTATTTGCAACATCAAAAAGGGAGATGGGGGAGTGCTGTTGTCTTGGGTTTTTGCTTTGGTGTGGTTTTTATTTTTCTTGTTCTACCTCCCCTGAATAATCTGATTGTGGAAGAAGTATAGTAGGAGGTTTAATGTAGCTTAAAGCTAAGCCAGGTGGATAAGATGGAGGGTAGCAAAAGGTACGGGATGGACCGTGGTGAGGAAGAACAAGCAAAGAGTTGTGACACAGCAGCAGTGGAGTTTGTAACCATTTGGTAGCAATTCTTTTTTAGATTCTTCCCAGAGATCAGTGAGCCAACTGACTCGCTGTGTGACTAAGTAATCACTTCTAGCTAAAGCAAGTGTTGGAATGCTTGGCCAGAAATGGGATGGGACTTTATTTTTTGAGTGAAAGTAGAGTCTTAGGTTGGCTAAGCCAAGCATGAAAAGCAACTGTTGGTTTTCTTTAGACAAACTACACTTAGACTAATGTCCTCAGAACAGGGAGAAAACATTTCTTTGGTTGAAAACTGGATGCATTTGGACTCAATACTTGCATGGTACTAAAGAAGCAAACCAAAGGTACCAAACAAAAGTTGAATAACAGTGGGGGTAAACCAGGCACATAAACTTTAATCTGGAAAAGCTTCCTTAACTTTTTCAGCTCACATGCATTCTTTCTTTATAGCCTTTGAAAGATTTTCTGTGTTCTCTTCTACTGTCCTGTGCTCCTGTCTAAGAGACAGGCCACAATGGAATGGAGAATATAGTTGATGAGTTTAAATTAAATTTGACTTGTCAATTATTTTTGCTGTATGTAACATAATGTTGTGTAGTACTGTTGTTTTTTTAGTTTAAGTTCAAATCAACAGTTATTAAGTGATAGCAATGTGTTTGAAACGGACCTTACTTGGAAGTACTGATAAGAGTTTCACAACTGGTCAATGTAGTAAATCTATTATTCTGTGTAGTTCAATTGTATTAGTTATGTCACACAAAGGTTCAGACTGTAATTTTTTTTTTATAAACTAAAATTGGGACAATGTGGTTTTATTTATGTAGTAGCTATGAAATGGCCTTTGTGAAGGGCCTTTCTGGGAGTTAACTTAAATAAGAAATTGACTTGTAGAATATTTGCATGCCTATTTAAAAAAATGGAAAAAAATGGTTTCTTTTAGGACTCTCTCATTCCTGGGGATGAGTTTATGTCTTGCCTTGATGTTCATTTGCTCTTGGTACTATGCTTTGATTGCCATGCTAATCGCAGGATGTATATACAAATACATAGAATATAGAGGGTAAGACCATATATCTTATTTATTCTATATTTAATATCTTTAATATTCAGCAAAAAGCAATTTTGTATAAAATAGATACAACTGAAGTAATAGAATTAAGAGTATTCCCTGAAACAAGGTAAGATCACGTCTCTGTTAAGGGTTTTAACTTTCAGTTTCTAATTTTTTCTCGACAGCCAGAACTAATCAAAATAAGAACCAATAAGGCTGGGAAACTTTCATTTGAGCAGAGATTATGATGTGAATTTTTGATAGTTCAGGAACATTACCTTTTAATATCAAGCAGCAACTGTTTCAAAACTTACCTTATTATTAGCTTGTGCTAAAGCACAAATGCTTTTCTCTTTTGTGTGGACTTTAGCACTTTTTTGAATGAATCACACTGAACAATCCAGACCTGCCACTGAAAATTATCTAAGCCTTCAAAAAACAGATAATCTTTAAATTCCAACGTACTTTGCATTGTGTGCATTTGACAAGGGATGCATACAGAGCCACACCTGTGAGAAATGCTGTGCAAGCAGGAGACTTAAAGAGCATACTGAGTTCATTTTAAAAAAAAAAAAAACAAAAACACAGAAGCAAACAACAACCAAACAAAAACTAAACAAACCCAAGAAGCAACACAAAAAAGTTACCAAAACCCAACTACAAAAACCCCAACTAAACAACACATCCAAACACTAGAGGTGATTATGATCAGTAATGGGAGTGTTTTCCCTTTCTAAGAAAAGGTACCCAATGCTGAAAGATTCTGGTCAGGAAAAATTGTGAGGTCTTGGATCAGTAAATTGAAGTGAGGTCGGTTGTTTTGATGAGTGATTAAGCCCAGGTCTTAAGTGGATCAGCTGGTATAAACTGCTCCACTTTGTGGGCTAGAATTGTAGAATCGCAGAACGGTTTGGGCTGGAAGGGACCTTGAACATCTAGTTCCACCCCCCCTGCCACAGGCAGGGACACCTTCCACTAGACCAGGTTGCTCCCAGCCTCATCCAGCCTGGCCTGGGACACTTCCAGGGAGGGCGGAGCCACAGCTTTTCTGGACAACCTGTTCCAGTGCCTCACCATCCTCACAGGGAAGAATTTCTTCCCAATATCTAATCTATATCTCCCCTCTTTCAGCTTTAAATTGTTACCCCTCATCCTATCACATCCCTCCCCACCTTTCCTGCAGGCCCCCTTTAAGCACTGGAAAGCCGCTCTAAGGTCTCCCCAGAGCCTTCTCTTCTCCAGACTGAACAACCCCAACTCTCTCAGCCTGTACTCACAGGGAGGTGCTCCAGCCCCCTGAGCATCTTTGTGGCCTCCTCTGGACCTGCTTGAGCAGGTCTGTATCTGTCTTGTGCTGGGGGCCCCAGAGCTGGACACAGCACTGCGGGTGGGATCTCACCAGAGCATAGTAGAGGGGGAGAATCACCTCCCTCGACCTGCTGGCCACGCTGCTCTTTATGCAGCCCAGGACGCAATTTGCCTTCTGGGCTGTGAGTGCACATTGCTGGCTTGTGTTCAGCTTTTCACCCACCAGCACCCCCAAGTCCTTCTCCGCAGGGCTGCTCTCCATCCACTCATCACCTAGCCTGTATCTGTGCTTGGGATTGCCCCGACCCAGGTGCAGGACCTTGCACTTGTTGAACTGCATGAGGTTCGCACAGGCTTGCTTCCAGCCTGTCAAGATGCCTCTGGATAGCCTCCCTTCCCTCCAGCATGTCGATCTTACCACACAGATTGGTGTCAGTTCTACATCTTTGTTTCCAGATTAGATGCTTTCCTGGATTAATTATAAGGAAATTGATTTGCCTCTTTTAGTCAGGAAGTTAGATTAGATGATTACAGTTCTACTTGTGTACCTGTATGTAGGTATGCACATACGTAAAATTGTATGTACATCCAAATTCATATACAGACTCTTCAAATGTTGGCACACAGCCAGCACATCAGCCTTGTAGAAAGAGTCTTTTGCAGAAGCTTAACTTCTTTCCTCCCTGCATTGGCAAGTGAAGGGGCTGATTTGGCAGTGGAGAGAAACTCACCCTGAGATGTTCAAAAAAACTGCTGTCTGGAGAAAACCTTAGTTTTTAGTTTCATTCCTGGATAACTAAGTAAAATAAACTTACGTGAGTGTGTTGTCTGTCGGGGTACCTTTTAATTGCCATGTTGTTCTTTAGTAGCTTTTGCATTCAGCTTGACTTATTTCACCTAAATTTCGAAAGAAGGCCAGGTAAATTTCAGTGAGAATTCATGGATGTAAATAAGAGGGAAGGAGAGCAAGAGCGATGGACCTCTTGCTGTAGTAGAATCCCAACAAAGGAAAAGAATGTTGGTGTCACTGTTTATTCTTATTTGGTTGGTCCCTTGGCATATAGCATAGGTTTGTGTTGGGAGAAGAAGTGGAAAATGTAGGGCGATTGAAGCTGGTCAGGAGGGCAGATAAAGCTTTAGGCTCACCTGGGAGAGAAGCTGGGAAGGAGCAGAAGTGGAGAAAGCTGTAGTGGTGGTGTTTGGGGGAAGGTATAACACTAATCCATACAAAGTCAAATTTCATGTATTCATTCTGCTGCTTTAAAACAATTCCTTTAAAATAGCCCTCATTTATTCATTCTAGTGCTTAAAAGCAACTTAAATAGCTCTCATGATTACAAAAAAGCTTTTGAAGTATGAATAAAATAGACCATAGTAAGTGTTAATAAATAGTTGATAAATAGTTCTCTTGAAGGGACTTGAAACTGCTTCATCTTTGTAGTCTCTATTCTTGATGTAAATCTGCAAGACAAGTGTTTTTATGCATTCATGCAAAAAAGTGTTCATCTTTTATGCCCATTATTCCTCATGTGAGAAAATGTACTTAATTTGTATAAATAAATGGGACCCCTTTAATTGAATCTCTTCTGCATCCTGAAGAGCGGAAAAAGAATGGGGTGATGGAATCCGAGGACTGTCTCTGAATGCAGCTCGCTATGCTTTGCTTCGTGTTGAAGATGGTCCTCCTCACACCAAGAACTGGAGGTAAGTCCTATGCCTTCCAAGGTCACACAGTTCTTGAAATACGTAAATCTACTGGGAATACTGCTGGTAAGGCTAATGGCCAAAGTGAAATTCACCATTAAAATAATTTTTTAACTTGGACAGGGCATCAGTGTCATTGCAGTAGTATTATTTTATTACAATAAGAATGTGACTTATAGTCAGCATGTAATCAGCTTTGTTGGGACTATGGGCGAACTCACTTGAACTTAAATTCATGTGGTATTGACATAGTTTTCCAAAGTGCTGAAGGATTTTAATGTTTGAGCATTTAGAGTTTCAGATTCAAAAGAACAGTTATCATTGAGTCCCACTGTCTCTGTAGAAGAAATACTGCAATTTCATAGCTGTTTTGTTGTTGTTTTTCTTCAAAATGTTTCCTTGGAAATACATTGTATAAATATACAAAGGATCCATTATTTACTTCTTTTTTGTGGCAATCTTTTTATATAGCTTCACTTAATAGTTACACTTTCTAAATTGCTTAGGTATCATTAAAACAAATCTCATGTTTGCTGTCCATTTGTATGTGAATGGGGTTAGATGTCCAGTACTATTTTTGCCACATATTCTTTTTACTTGTTAAACTGTTAATCAGCTCAATGTCAACGCAAAAAATTTACTTAACATTGAAAATGAAAGAATGTTTGCCACTGTCACTTCTGATGAATGTAGTGTAAATCAGAAGAACTCTGATCAGTGGAACACGCAAAAAAAACCTGTCACTAGATGTGATACTTGAATTAGTAGTCACTGCTCTGTGATAGTGTCCCTGGGCACATGCAATGTTCTGTTCCCCTTCAGTGTAATGGCATTATTTTACCATTTGTCATGGGACTGATGCACGTAAGCAGTTACTATGGAATACATGAGCCACTGCCTTTATCTCTGTCTGAACTTGGCATCTCAGAGGCACCGATGTAATGTAGTGTTGACTAAGAGCATTCCTGTTAAATGCCTGACATTGCTTCAGTTCTAGATGAGTTATCCTTCTGTGGTGTCAATATAATTTCTAGAACTGAACCTTCTTGTTACATCTTAAACTGTGCTGGTTTTGAGGGGGAAGTACACTCCAACTCGTTGTTGCTTTCTTGAATTTGTAGTGATGACAGGAAAACTAAAATGTTGGTTTGGGAAAAGTAAGCAGATCAGATATTGATTAAAGGAGACAGGATGCATCCTCATCAACCATGCAGTTGAAACTGAACTTGCGATACTGTCAGTATGGTTAAGGGTATGACTGTCCTTTTGGAGGGACCTAGGCAGGTAGAGCAGTGTGTTGACAAGAACATCATGAAGATCCAGAAGGACAAGGGCAAAGTCCAGTACCTGGGACAGGTTTGTCCAGTGCAGCAGTACAAGGCTGGGAGCCTGTTCTGGTGAAAAGGACATGTGGTTCCCAGTAGATAGTAAGCCAGCAGTGTGCCTTGACAGTGATATGCTGGACTGTATCAACAGGAGCATAGCTAGTATGTTGAGAAGTAAATATATTGGAAAATAATATTCCTCTTTGTTGAGCACTCATTAGAATACATCTAGAATATTTCATCCTGTTTTAGAAAAGACATCGGTAAACTGGAATGAGTTCAGCAGAGGACCACCAAGACAATGGTTGGGCACAGGAGCATATCTCCTGTGGGGAGAGGCTGAGGGAGCAATGCTTATTCAGCTTGGAGGAGGCTTAAGAGGAGCCTAAAAGCTGACTGGTAAACATGCAACACCTAAAAGAAGGTTACTGAGAAGATGGAGTCAGACTCCCTCCAGCAGTGTATGGTTGGAGAATGAGAGAATGTAAAAGAACAGAGAAAGAAAGAAAAAAAAAAAAAAATTGAGATGGGGGTAATTAAGCATTGAAGAGATTACCCAGAGGTGATATCTATGTGTCTGGAGGCTTTCACAATCCAACTGGATGGAGCTGTGAACGATCTAGTGTGCATTCAGTGTTTAACCACTTCAAGCAGCAGGTTGCACTGGGTGACCTTGGAAGCATGATAATTATGATTGAATAATTTTCTTGGTAAAACTGTTCTTTAAGATAGCTTTTCAGAATGATAGTGTGGTGGCTCATATAAGTATTCTATACCTGAAGAGGTGCTATTGCAGTTTATTACTTCCTTGCTTGATAGTTGGATGATTTCCATTTAAGCACCCAATCTGCACTTCATTAACTACTAATATGTGTGTGTACTTTTTTCTTTTTTGGCAGACCTCAACTTTTGGTCTTGTTAAACCTGGATAGTGAGCAGTTGGTGAAACATCCCAGGTTGCTTTCTTTCACCTCCCAGTTGAAGGCTGGTAAAGGACTAACTATCGTAGGCTCTGTGCTTCAGGGAATCTACTTGGATAAATGTACA